TTTTCTGTATATTGAATAAGCTGAGTAAACATTCTATAAAATAAATAAAAGAAACTGATTAGTCATAAAATGTTCATTCTATAAAGGGGTAGAACACTATCTTTGGTTATCTACCTGAAGTAAAGAATATTTCCATTGAGAATTTTTAATCTTTGAAGAAAAATTCAGCATTATACTTCTCTTCAAATTGATGCCTAATGTTGTGTGTAAAAAAATATATTTCCAAACTATCGAAATAAAGGAAGCTTAGTCGGAAAACAAAACACTCAGAAAGATGAATTATTAAAAAGTGTACAAATAAGAGACGAAAATCGAAATCTATAAAACATAACTAAATCAAGTTTATATAGTTATTATTTTTGCGAATTTTTATTTCAGATTGTAGTAGGTTTATTAGTTGAATTCATGAGTCTAAATGAGCTAGACCATTATTGAAAACCTGGAATGAGAAGCCGTGACCAGTGGAGTTCAATCTAAGTCGGGTAGATTCAGATGTCTAACTTAGAAAATGGATTAATGAGTATGCAAGATTGTGGATCAATTGAAGACAGACATTAACACCGTTGGATGCTATCTCAGTAGTCTAAAGGTTAAATCTTGGTTCCAAGTGCCGCATGCGGGATCTTGGATGCGCACTGTTGAGGAGTCCAATACTAGGATGAAACGACCGTCCAGTGCTCCCAGGTTTTTCATGGTGGTCTAGCTTAAATCGACACATGAATTCAAGCATTAAAATTTTTATTCCCTCAACTAGAGAATGTGGCCAGTAATCATTGCTATTTTCGATCATGAGTCATTACAATTAATGTTCTTCTTAACAAATTCCAAAGAATTTCTCAAAGTTTATCTATAGATTTTTCTTTCTTGGTGGTTCCAAAAGTTCAGAAATGAGCTAGATCAATTCTCTTCAAAAGACAGATTTTTTAATTTGCCAAGTATGTTGACAATGTAAATATGTTTGGAAAGACTATGCTTTTCCTAACTACATTGTCTCTATTCAGTAAATGTCTCATAATTGTTAATCATATATAATAAGATGGTATTTTCTTAGCGTATACAATTCTGTTTATATGAATTAAACATTGTTTTTTTGTAAACAAGATATCACTAAATATCAGCTGTTAGTTAAAATAGAATGAATCAAGGTCAAACGGAAGGTTACTTGATAGCTAATCAGGTGAACAAATAAATTCGAGTATTTTTTTTCTTCTCACAAACATATTGAAAATGACGTCTGAATGAATAAAATTAAATACAGTGATTTGTATTGCTTAAACTAGCAGACAGGATATTTTTGGTTCCTTATGGAGGAAATCGGTAATAATATTTGATTATTTCTGGTAATGTTGAGTTCTTTAAGTTGAATGATTTCATTGCGAACTCCACTGGAAAATATCTCCTTTGCTTTATTTAAAAATCATTTTAAAAAAAGACAAACAGAAAAGAAATATTACTGTATAGAAAACTGTTACTCAATGAATTCGTCACTACACAGTACTTCAACAACAATATTTAACAATAGAAATATATTTCAGATTTAAAACGGTCTATTACATGAGTATTTATGTGTCGAATTAAAGTTTTATTTATTTTTTGAAACATCTAACTTCATTCGAATTTATAAACAGTAAATCGTATTGATGTAAACGATTTGTTTAATTAATTTAACTGACTATATTCTGATAAATGAAGTTATTGTCTTACTAGTTATATTTATAATTATCAGAAGGGGGTTTTTCGTGGGAAGTTTAGTAATTTTAAGTAGTTGAAATCATGAGTCGATTGAAGCTAGATCACCATGGAAAACCTGAAAGCAGTGCTCATCCACGATCCCGCCTCATGAGATTCGATCCCAGGACCTATCAGTCCCGCGTGCGAGCGCTTAACCACTAGACCACGGAGCCGGCATCCAACGGAGGTAATGTCTAACTTCAACCAATCCACGAAATTGAGCGACCATTCACCAATGTCTTCAGTGAGTTGATATCTTCCAACAAACCTGGTTGAGGCGGAATCGGGGATGCACACTGCTGAGGCGTCCCACAATAGGACTAAACGGCCATGCAGTGCTTCCAGGTTTTCCATAGTGGTCTAGCTTCAATTGATTCATGATTTCAACTACGTATAAAAAATGTTCTACTGTCAAACGATTGTTTCATGTAATAAAAAGATATTTCATCTGAATTTTGAAACAACTTAGCAGTGTGTTAGCCTATGACCTAGCTAGCATATTTATTTGTATAATTATGTCTTATAAAAAAAATGAAATGAATTATATTCACGCGGAAGGATAAGATTGAAAATCAAGCATCCCTGTAACTACTGAGACTGATTTAAATTATCATTATGGCAATGAAATAATAAACTTTACTTATATCTTTTTTATTTATATTATCTATTCATTTCAAACAATATTATCCTGTAACTAGAATAAAATAAACCTGAACAAATCTCGAAGAGTAGGACAGATAAATTTCACCTCTCTTATGCTCAATGCTAACAACATATCTGTGAATAGTGTCCACTTTCTCAACATTCATAATAATAATTATTATACATGTACACTAAAGTAATTATTTGTACTATATGAGGAAACTGATCAAAAGCATATGTCTTGACCAGTTAAAAATGAAAAGTAAATACATTTTCCTATCAGACAAAAACAAAGTTATATTCGTATACTCACTATCATTGTGTTTATTGTTTTTAAGAAAGAATATCTTTTATTTATTTAAAAAACTTTATAACAGTTTTGTTTAAAAAATTTCATCACGTGACACCAGATAATAGTGTCAATTGCCGAAAATACAAGCCATGGTAACATATGATGTTTACTATTTATATTTTGCATTGGACAGCGTCCATAAATTAATAAGATGAAATCAACAATGATATTTTCAACCGAAAAAAACGGCGGTAATTTTATTTTGTATGTCTACAATTTTGCTTATAATGTCTAGAATGATAGAGAAGTAAAGAATAAACAATAGTAATAACAATAATATTGTCAATAATAATTGTGGACAAATTGGTGATTTACAATATTTAAACAACTTGATAAATTAAAATTAAGTATAAGCGACAAAGGTCTGTTGAATAAAATGAATTCCTTAATTCATTTTCCGACTTCCCATCAATTGTAAACAACTTTAGTCAGTGTATTTAGGATAAGTATTCTAAGCGGAGCTGAAAGTTATAGAATACAAAACTATATATTCTCTACTTTGAATACTAACAACTATCACCTTTTCTACCCTGTATTATTATTTTGCAACGTTTAAATACGTATTAATCTTAATTATGTTTACTATATTTTGTGACCAATTCATCTTACAATTTTCTGTTTCATTTTAAACATCCACATCAACTGCACTGTTTGGGGAATTTGTCATTCTTAGTCATTTTAATTCGTTTCAATAAGGATTTAACATATATTATAGTATATCACTGACTTATCAATTCTTTATCAACCGGATATATTGTAAACAGTTCACAGCATCAAATTGGAATCGCGTAAAGCTAATTCTTATGAAACATATGATAACTTTCTATCGTGACGATTCTGTATTATTTAAAATAAAAAGATTAGTTTGATCACCAGTTTATATCAGTAACAGAAGTTCTGTGAATCAGAAATCAATAGATGAGTATTTCAACCAAATTTGGAACTTCCTATGAATGCACATTCTCTGATACTATTTTGTAACTGTAAATCAGTCTTTCAAATATAAAAACTCCTATCAAAAATCTTCAAGAATAAAAGCATAAGTATATATCTTATGATATATAGAATATAAAATGACAACTAAAGAGTGCTTAGTCAGAATGGACAGAATTCTTTTTTCTGTTCTACAGATGATATCAATCTATAATGATGATAATACTGTGTTTAGATGATTATCTGTCGACAAATCAAAGAGAATAGTGAAACTCTTTTCAGACTTTTATACCTCTATATTTGATTGATTGTTCAAGATGCGTTAATTTTTTTTTAAAGTAAAAGGTTAATCATTAATAATGTTTAGATTATTTTCTAAATTTATTGATATTTCATAAAACTAATTATGAAGTTTGCTCTCGACTACTTGTGAGTAGTGCACATTCCATGGTATAATAAATACATTCTGATTTTTTCGAGCGTTGCCATTTGTTTATAATCTTTTAGTGATAGAATTAAATTTATCGATCTTAATTTTAAATGTGTAACAGAGCATATTATGGTTGAACTGTGCTTCTGTGAGGGCAATGTTAAAGACAGAATGATTATAAGATAGATTTAATAAATAATCACACATTTCTTATTATTCACTTAGTATTGTTTGTTTGAATCTTCCCATTGATGTTTAGGACTGCAACTGGTCAGTCTCTAATTGGCATATGTGCATACTGTACGTATTGCCTCGATATAGCCTTGTTTCACAAGCATTGTAAGCAAAGATGGATAGTGGCTAGCAGTGGAATCCAAGACGCTCGTTTCGTCCTATTTTGGACTCGTCAGCTGGATGTACCTGCATCTCAGAGTTGATGTTCACTCTGGGACTCAAACCCAGTACCTTTCGCTTCAAATGCCATCGTCCTATCCACTCAGCTACTGAGTACTGATAGCCACTTGCTTGTGCAATGGAGTGAAGTCCAAATTCATTTAGTACTGTTTGTTTGAATCTTCCCATTGATGTTTAGGACTGCAACTGGTCAGTTGCTAATTGATATATGTTCATAATGTACGTATCGCCTCGATATAGCCTTAATTCACAAGCCTTTTTTGTTGTTGTATTTTTTTACTTAATATTGAAATGTAGGACTAGATGATAATCATTCACTTTTTCGCTTCCTCACCTTTCTCCTCCATAAACTACAGATTTGCATACTTGTCTAATATATATAGTTATTTAAATGTCAATTTACAGGATTCTAACCCAGCTATTACTTTATAATTAGACAATTGAAAATAAATAAATGCAAATTCATTAAATTACTTTATTATATCATTTTCTTAACAGATTTTCTATGTTGGTTGTACAGTGGACAAACATTCAATGTCAAATTGTTCACAATTTTCTATGCAAAAATTTAATAATCAAATATCACAATATTCAAATGAGAAATTAAATCCAAATCATAATAATAACAACAGTAATCATAATAATAATCCAGGTAGATCAAGTTCATGTGTGTTTAAATGCCAGTGATACCTTTTTTTCTTTTTGATTTATAGTAATTGTGTTTTAATAGTGACCAATGTTCAATGCTATTAAAGGTTTTCTTTGTAATGTTACGGTAAAATAATAAACTTGACTGTTTTTTTCTAAGCTCATGAAAATGTTTATTTTTAAATACTTAAATTTTAAAAATAATTTAAATACTTTCCATACATCCATGTCATTATCAAAACTACTAATCCAAATTATTGAAACTGATCGGAGCTTTTTAACAATATAAAGAAATATGGTTCAATGGTTAAGCGCTCGCACACGAGACTGATAGGTCCTGGATTCGATTGTGGATACGCACTGATGAGGAGTCCCATAATAGGATAAAACGGTCGTCCAATGCTTCCAGGTTTTCGATGGTGGTCTAATTTCAATTGACTCATGATTTCAACTACATAAAAATGATTATCAGTAAAAGCATTAAAAAAATCTATTTGAAAGAAATTCAAAGATAACAGTTCATGTGTTTGTTTGTGTCTGATAGATGTCAACGCCCATTCCTTTGATTACATTTCAAGGGTATCTGTGACCTTTTACTCAAATAATAAACTCACTTTGTAAGATTTGGTTCTGTAATTATTGAAATCAGTGACTTTATTCTAAGTTTCTTGGTATTTGAGATTGATGGCAAAGTTTAACTTCATTGAAATAACTTCAATGAAGAACTGTCTTTGAGAGAGCAGAATATTATTTGAAATTACCTTAGATTTTTAAATATGTTTTCGTTATGATTTTTGAATGACATGTAAAAAAAATACTAACGAAAAGTGAAGTGTTCTATGGTTATTTTGTCCTAGATTTAAACTCTTTAATACTACATACAGAGTTCAAATAAATGAACTGACAAATCAATCGTGGTTGGTAGTGAAGTAGAAGGCGATAAATAAATTGTATGAGAGTCGTTATTTATTAGCAGAAAATGACTAAAGACGAAAACTAAGTCATTACAATTTCAGTTAGTATCTTGAAGGTAGAATGCTTTATCAGAGAAAGATGATACACTTTGGCTTGTTGTTTTTACGGTTTCGAACATGCTTGATATCGAATGGTCATAGAATAGAATGCAGCATATATTCAGCACAGCATAGTGATTACCGTTTGTTTCATCACATCAAATGTCCAGTAGGGGATAACTCAAATGTGCCGTTTATTAAATCAATGAATGTAGTAGTAACACCTTTTTACTTAGCCTTAGACATTCTGTTTACCGTCTATCTCCCTTATCTTCATTTCTTTTCCTGTACACCAAAAGACAACCAATCAATGTTCAATGATTCTGATAACTTCTACCGTATTATACAACATGATCATATTGCCTATCGTTATGAGATTTTATCACTTCTTGGTAAAGGTAGCTTTGGTCAAGTTGTTTCAGCCTATGATCATATGAAAGGATGTAAAGTTGCTTTGAAGATAATTCGAACAGAACCACGTTTTACACGTCAGGTTAGTTTTGTTCTTTTGTTATTAAATTATCAAAAAAATAAACATTTTATCGTTGTTATAATTTTCACTACCGCTTAATATAAAAGAAGTTAAATAATATCAATGCAAGAGAATTTAACCGATTTTAATGGTAAAATATTTCATCATAAGTTAATCTCCGTCGAGGTACTACTAAAAGCCGAGGAACACTGAATGGCTATTTCATCATGTAATGAAACTCCTCAACAGTGCAGATTTATGGTTTGTTTTTACGCCACCTGTCGCGCAACCGCATAAAAAGACGAATAAGCTATCCAGTGTTTGTTGGTTTTCAGTAGTACCTCAACTAAGATCAGTCTGTGAAATGAACCAATTTTGACACATACTTTCAACTAAATTTCCGTATAAAATAAATGACTGATAAGTAAAACACACATTAAAAGATAATGCATATTTCTAAGGTATTGGTCAAACAACTTAAACACAATTTATTGTTCCAAAATGAGCTATTTGACACCTTACAAAGTACACCTCCGATCTTGAAGAAAATGATGCTTTATATGTGAAACAGTTTCATGTTATCTCAGTGATATTAATTTTATCATGCTGATCATGAAACCGGAAAATTCTGTGTGAGTTTGTAGGTAAGCATCAACGATGAGTCTCAAATCAGTCTTGCATTGTTTTCAATGGTAATTCAAATTATATTACTTCCCAACGGTAACGGTTCTACAACGTCTACAAATCTTCTTATCGAATATCTTAGAAAATAAATACTTTTATTGCAAAGACAAGTGTTAAAGTCAACTGATTCAACAATACCACGATTTTATCTTGTTACACTGTGTTATGAAATTATTGAACTGTTTTGTCATAAGTTGTCAATATGTGCAGATTATTCTATAGAATATATACAAGTCAGATAGTAATAATCAACCAGTTCATCACTAGATTCTATTACAGAAAAAAAAACAAGTAAACGTAATTCAGGTCAATACAGTTCATACTTTACAGTACTGGAGTCATTCAACAATTCCTCTGCAAATTCCCTAGAAAATGTTTGAAAACTACTTCGTCTAATTAATAATCTCTAGAAGCATTTAGGCAAAATATAGAATAAGTCTAATCATTATTTTCATCTTTAGTTGACATCTGCCGAAATTGTTATCAACTTCGGCATGTTTTCTAGAACCTTCTAGACTATCAAGTAAACCCAAAATCTCACAAATACCATTGCATTCTCGAAGTTAAATTGATCTCCAAAATGAAAATTCTATATTTCCAATGACTTGTTTTTGAGAATACAAGACTTCTAGGTACTAGGATATACTTAGAAGATTGTTATCTACATGTTCAAACATAAGACTTAAAGAATAATCAGAAGCTAAACAACAGATAAGTTTAAAGTCGAAATTCAAAAAAAAAACACAACCTACTAAATACCATTTGAAAATACATTACACTTATTTATTTTTCATGTTTAAAAATGAGACAGAAATCAGTCATTTTTATTGCTTAGCAACATAAATTATACATTTAAACAACTTGAAAACTTTATTTGTGTTATATGTTCATTTTTATTTACATAAAATGAAATTGATTACATTACTGTATTCGCATAAATACTTAAACATGATTGTATGATGAATAATCGTTAAATTGAATATTTTGGTTTTCATTGTTTTTTTTTTCAATTTCAAAAATTCTCAGAAGAAAAAAAAAGGCACAAACTAGATCGATTAGTCTTTTTTTTCTTCCAAATTTGTGTACAAATAATGTTTGTGTACTTTTTTTTCTTCTTCAAAGTTCTTGTAATAGTAAGGTATTATATGAAAGAATAGTTTTATTATTATTTATATAGATATTAATCACCATTTCGTGAAGTACAATCTCAATGTCATCGATTTTAATTTATACTTTACGCTGTTTCTTCATTGTTGATTAAAACAAATTTCTGCTAATGTATATTCTTAATTCAATGTCACAAAATTCTTTTTATCGGTATGATATACGTATTTGTAATTGATTAAGTCATTTCTGTGATGATGAACTACTGATATCAAACTTTTTAACTTAATATCTAAATTATTCGTTACTACTACGTTTCGTTACTCAATTTAAGCCACTTCTTCGGAGAATGAATAATTTATGTATAGCAATCAACCCAATACTCAATTTATTTAAAATTATCTAAATTATTCGCTACTAAGTGCTTGATATGCATGGATAGTTATAAATAAGTTAAAAGTATTGTGATTAATAACAAGATTATACGATTATATTTTCAGTGATTTTCCAATAAATTACATTTAGTGCCGATAATTATTAGATAGAACAAAAGGAGCTATGATGTGATATTTAGCTATATTTATTTTGAAAATTATAAAAGGTAACTGTGTAGTTTAACTTGTTCATATTGTTTTGATCGGAAGTTATGTTTAGTGACAAGCTCATTTGGAAAATTTGAATGATTAAGAGAAGTGAAACTTTTGTAGCTCTGACGATTGAATATGTTGGTACTGTGCTCTATGACTAGATTATTCAGACATATAATGATAGCTTCACAATCAAACCATCTGGTACAGAAAATGTAACACTATCAGAAATGTAAATGCTAATTTCGATAGATTTTTAACTGTAAATATTTAGACGTACATTCTTTTCATTAGCTTTGCTATTATATATATCACCCTCAAACTACTAGCTCTCCTAAATCCATCATGAGAAAATGTGAATTTATAATTTAAACGGAGATACTAACTACTTATAAGTAGCTGAACTAGGCTTGTCATATATAAGTTATGAATTGTAGTGTCGGATGCTATGTTAAGCCCGTATACCTTATTCTAGCTTCTGGATAAGCCAATTTACCTATCCATCATGAGTCACATTTTGATGTTGTTAATTACTCACTTATTTCCCCCTGTCTATTTTTTATATGAGCGTATGTGTGTGTACAATTCTTGTTCTATTCATCACGTGTCTGTAATTTGTTTTTATCTGACTATAAATATTGATTAACGATTGATAAAAGCAAGTTGGCTTACTCACCATGTCTAATGCTTGTCATTTCTGGTTCTCCCTCTTCTATTCGCTTCATCCCTCTGATTCCTTATCCAGATCAATGAGTGTACAAAATATATGTATTCAAAATGCATTCTCGTATTTGACCTATTTAGCTCCGTTATTCATCAACGCGGAATAAGTCACATATTACGTACGAGGATAGACAAGATGTATATTTTGACGAAAATCAATCGTAGGATCTAATTGGAGTCAGATCTATGGCCCCTAAAAATACAGCTTGCATTCAATTTATTTCATCAGACTGATATTTAATAAAGATTCACATGAGAATTCGTATCCTATCAAATAACTTTTCAGTTTTTCTGTACAATTTATATCTTCTGAAACATAACAGTTTTACTTCCTGATCTGTCGTTAGTTTATTAATCATAGACGTTTAAGGGTATTTTCCTGTTAGAAACTTTTACACAAAGTAAATGAACTATGTAGTTCATAAGCCGAATATCATTAATTAACAATCTGTATTGGAAACAAAAACAATCAATCAATTGAGTTTACACCACAGTAAAGTAATTACTATTTATACAAAATAATAATCACAAAAATCGGTTGAAATTAAGTTATAAATGTTTTTTAATAATTCAGTGCAGTTCAACCAGGTCTGTTGTGAGATATCAACTCATTGAAGACATTGATGGGTGATTACTCAATTTCGTGAATTGGTTGAAGTTAGACATCAAAACCGTTAGACGCCGGCTCAGTGGTTTAGTGGTTAGGCGCTCGCACGCGGGATCGATAGATCCTGGGTCCGAATCTCGCGAGGCGGGATCGTGGATATGCACTGCCGAGGAAACCCACAATAGGACGAAACGTCTGTGCAATGCTTCCAGGTTATCCATGATGGTCTAGCCTCAACTGACTCATGATCTCAACTATATAAAATTACTAAAATCTTTACAAAACCACCTGACAATTCAGAGATAAATAAAATAATTTGATTATGAATATATTTTTATATTTGTTTCATTAACTTTCAAATTTTATTCATGTGTAAAATGTTATTTCTATTTCAAACTTTAAAATTTATGATAAAAAAAGATATTGAATATTTTTCTTCATATAGTTGTCTACTTTTTATTGATTTGTAATTGATGATTATGTAATCAGTTGCTAATTCATAATTGAATATAAATTGATAGATTATGTGACTTGAAGTTGGAAACAAAATACTATGCATACTAATATTATAAACAAGGTACGTTAAATGATGTAAATACCCCTAAGTATGAGATTAACTGTAACTGTTATTCAAACAAAAATATATTTGTCTTAAAGAATGAGTTCTCATAATCATCAAAAACCTGTAACTTACTTGTTCGACTCTTTTTTTTTTAAGAAGAACAATAAATTTACAAATGTTAAGTAAAGCTGAATACACAAATTATGTTCCCAATTATAATTGAATAAAATGACATTTTAGTTATAGCGTTCAGTTGTTCAGCAACATGTAAACACAATTAAGTAAATGTATTTGATTCTATCACAACATATGGTGGCCTGTTTCAATATCTGGGTTACCTGCATCTGCCATTTAGATATTTCAACAAGTTATCTGTTTCATTGTTTGATTTAACAGATCATTATGTCAATTAATTACATAATCTATTCAGATGTGTTTGTGAAACGTTTACGACCTTTCTCAATACAAGTTACAAAATATACAATCGGAGACATAGTGATTGCTGCCAATATAAATTGAAAAGAGTGAACATTAATCAGATGTTGATTTTTAAAATGCTAACATCTATCTGGCGATCACTCAACATTTATCGTCAATATAGATCAAGAAATAAGAAACAGAGACTCGTTGAAATAATTTGTGCTTAATATTCTTTATTGTACTAAAAATATAATATTGAATAAAACTTATAATAATAATAATTATGATTATGTATTGGCACTAATGGAATATTCTTAAAACTAGAACCGGGTAAATTTTGCAATGATCCCGACTTTATATTTTCACTACCAAATATACCTATTTCATTCTTATTTGTTATTAATTTATTCATTGTAATTAATTTAAATGACAATTTCCCCAAGTATTTACACTATATATATAACATTGTATCCATGGTACTATTTTAAAGGTTACATAATTTATTTCTTTTATATTTAACTCATTAAAAATAGGCACGTGAAGAGATACGTATTTTGGAGACATTAAGGAATATGCGTGAATGTTCTGGTGGTGAATTAAATCGTTATGATTTTCCAATTATTAATTTATATGAACATTTTACATTTCGTAAACATATTTGTATGACATTTGAATTATTAAATATTAATTTATATGATTTATTAAAATTGAATAAATTCACGGGTCTACCAAGAGATCGTGTACGACGTATATGTTATCAAGTATTAAAAGCTTTACAATTTATACAAAAAGCTGGAATTATACATTGTGATTTAAAACCAGAAAATATTCTACTTGTTTGGCCACAATTACCAGAAAATGAAAATACTACTAATAATACTACTAATTATCAATATGGTGATAATTATCTTAAAAAAAGTCAACAACATCAAAATCATTATAATGGTAATAATAATAATAATAATGATAATGGATATGATTCAATTAATCATTTACGTTCAATGTGTCAACGTGTAACAGAACAAAAAGATTATGTAAAATTAATTGATTTTGGTTCAAGTTGTTTTCAAAATGGTCAACCATATCCATATATTCAATCAAGATTTTATAGAGCACCAGAAATTCTGCTTCGTTTAGGTTATAATGAAGCAATTGATACATGGAGTTTTGGATGTTTAGTAGCGGAACTAATAAATGGTAGGAAGATTTTTCATTAATAAATAATCTATTTATTTACATGAATCTACACTTCTTTGTTAATAAATTGGATTTTAAGAGTTTGGGACAACAATAACTGTAAGGTTTTTTTCAATAATTATTCACTGCAATATCATTTTGTTAGAATCAGTAATTGTTATTTACTGTTTAGTCATCAGTATACAGTAGTTACTATGACTTGTCTGCTGTGAACACGTCAGCGTAACCCAGCCTGCCAAGGTCGATGTAAAACACAAACCTATTATAAATTACAGGTTAAAGTGAAATCTTTAGTAGATCTTGTACCGTAATATGGGGCATCTGCTTAATAGATAAACAAAAATTGACCAAAAGTCCCTTGTTTAACACATTTAGTAGAAACTGAAATCGTAGTGAATTCCCTTAAACATACAATACACCATCAAGTTTATAAGACTGGTCGCATTATGCATTCAATATGAATGTATCAGTTCAACAGTAGAACGACGTTTATTAAAATTATAATTACCCGACCAAATTTAAATATCATTTAGTCAATAAGAAGTAACTTAGTATATTATACAATAGTATAGTAGTGTTTACCATTACTATTGGTTAGCTTCCATTACTATAGAGTTTTAAAGTTTTCAGATATTGATAAGAGAATTCAGAAAGTTATAATGAGAAGCAGCAACAAATGAAAACCCAGAAAATCAACGGTTAGATAGACATGATCGATTTCTAAGTATTATAGTCGGACATCCAAGATTAAATGAAGTTATAAATGTGAATAACTAGATTATAACTCAGTGTCCCTGAAACATAATGGAGTCTCTGAAAGTCCTGAGGTCGATTCTGGACAGTGTTATGAATCCCCACAGTTGAAGAGTCTAGAACTAGAATGGGATTTCTGCTTACTTTGTTGAGTAGACATTCTTAGTTGCCCATAGAAGTTTATCCAGTGATGAAAAAAGACTCTCATTCTACTACTACACTGCAGATTTATTCTTACTGATATTTTTAACGGTCGCCTTTAGAAGCTTATAGTTTAAGAATATTGATCACGATCACATTAATTATGAAGGAGTATGTCGTGCTAAATAATTTAGTGAACGAGTAAATCATCACAAAAATAAAATTGCATATTTCATGAGGAGTCATAGTGTTTCAATAAAGCTTATGCCTAGTTTACTGATTTTAATTGTTTCTTTTATTAATGAAAGAATCCCAATTTATCATAATAGAAGAATTGAAAACGATCAACGGATAATTTCTACCGAGCTAGATGTTTCACCATGTCATCAACTTTATTTAGTTTTACAAAAAAGATTTACATGGTATAGAAAAGAACTCGATTAGATGAAACAAATTCGCCCCGGTAAAACACTAATGATTCTGTTATATAATAAATGAAATAGCCAATCAGTATCCATATTTTAAATTCAGAACTTAACGAAATCAACTGTTCTTTTGGTTATATTGCTTTTTTAAGCTCCTTCAGAGATGAAGTAAATGTTGACAATCTTACGCAATACTTCTAGGAAAATCGTAAATTTAAACTACTCAGCTCAGAGAACAAGACACAATTAAAAGTATCCACTCAAGTAATAAATCTTTGTAACCATTTCAGAACTTATTAACCGTTGTTATTTGCTGTTTCTTTTGACATGGTAAGAATAAATCCAATTTAAGAAATATTTCTATATAATTTCTTGAATTATACAGTTGGATAATCTTTTAATTTCCCTTTCTTATCTGTTTGTGATTTTATTTCAGGTTTACCATTATTTCCTGGGGAAGATGAAGCTGACCAAATGGCTTGTATCATGGAAGTATTAGGTTTACCACATCCAAATCTTTTACGTCATTCATCTGAATTAGATCGTTATTTCATTGAATTCAAATGTGATAAACTGAAACCATCTACATTGGAGTTTATGGATAAAAACGGTGTACGATTATGTAGAGATGTTGTATATCTACCACGTTATTGTTCAGTACGTTATCCAGATGGTGATAATCCTCCACAATTATTACCAGGTCTTTCAAAGCGAGGTGGACATGTTCGTGGTATACCAAGTAGTTTACCATTACTTCAAGCTATTACTCAATCAAGACTACGTCGTTATAAACGTAAAGATACACGTAGTGTATCCAATTTATCAACAACAATGAATTCAACCAAAATGTCAGAGGAAGAAGAAATCTACTTAGATCAAGATAATGAATTAGTTGTAAATTTACTATCATCCTGTTTAACTTGGTTACCTGACGAACGAATTCAACCAAATAAAGCAATTCTGCATCCATGGTTTAACCATTTCTATAATAATAAATCCACTATTGGGTTTCGTTCACAATTACGTGTTAGGAGTATGGAAGTATCAAAATTTGCACCAAATAATAGTAAATTAGCTAATGAAATTAATGAACGTTATTTAATTCATGATCATCGCAATGGTCATGAGTCACTGAATAAAGACTCATTGAATAAAATCAATGGATTTTGTAATAATGGAAGACGAAAAACATCACGATTAAATTTAATTAATAATCATTTAGTCAATTTTGATATTACACCTAATAATTCCATTGTAGACGATTCAGTGAGAAATAACCATGAAACTGATGTAAAGCCATGTATGGTTGATGCACAAAGTAGTCCGATTCAAGAAGAAGAATTAAAAAAAACTCGTCGTAACTCTCAAATTACCATAGTGCAACAACAGCCGTCATACATGGTTACTGTTTCTAATTCACCAAATAAATGTTCAAAAAATTTGTCACATTCAACTCAACATACTGATAAGCTTTCTTCTTCTGGGAATCGGCGTGTTACATTAGTTTATTCGAACAATAACAGTAGTAATGTTAATGATAATAGAACAATAACAACGACCACTCCGGTCACAACGACGATGGTTGCTACTACTGCTAATAGCAGTAATCAAGGTGTCGATAACAAGTCAACCGTATCAGATGACAATCAGGAAGGTCGATTACTGTCTGTGAACTTATCATTTAATCACTTAAACAATGATAATAGCATTACTAAAACCAATAGTAGTAATATTGATGGTGCATGTGATGATGTTAATATTAGCAATATAACTAGCAGTAGTATAATTCATATGAATAAAAATATTTTGAATGATAGCACTATCAATAACAGTAGTAGTAGCAATAGTAGTAATAACAGCAATGCCAACACCAGTGCTCTTGACGTAATACTTCAAAATTCAGATTTACTTACATCAGTTCGTCGGTCATCACTTATTGGATCCTTGACAGAAATCAATAATTTAAATGGAACCCAGTCCGAAGTTGTTGTAGAAAAAACACGTCCCCTAATTCATACCAAACCTGATGCAATATATCAAAGTAAAAAACGATTAGATCGTAACTCAACTAATAACAGTGATCGACCATTATCGGAATTCACTCATCATCACCATCACCAAAATAACCAACATCCGATTACGGATTACGGTAAGACCAAAATTATCACAGAAAATGAAATTGATAGCCCGACGTTTCTGATCACAGGTCATTGCTCTGACTCAACACCTCATCTACCGAATCTTACGTCATTTAATATCAACCACAATAATAATAATACAAATAGCACGAATGCGACAGTGTGTAAAATCACAAATTCACCAAATCGATATTCATATTCCAATTTGCATCAATCGGTACCATTTGTATCTTCATTGACGATTGACAAATCTTTAAACAATAGTATGAATAATATTGTAAGTATACAAAAAATGAAGCTTACCACTGATGTGGGCATGATAAATGCCTCAGCCAAACGATATTCCGTCCCAACACGTACAAAGTTGATTGATATACCACAAGCAGAATACGAAATACCTATTACTGATCATAATAATAGTAGTATTAATTACAATCATATCAATGATTACGCTAAGCAGGATATTCATTTTATTCCAGTTACATCATCACATGTGATAATTTCAACGGATTCAGGTATTTCGCACAAATTAAATACAACGCATGATAATAGCACTAGTAATATAACAAGTAACTGTCATTATGAAACACAGTGTAGATATCCCTCTAGCCATTACAGTCAACAACAATGTGATACATATTACAGTCATAAAAACAACTATCAATACCGTCAGCAACAACCGCCATCACAACATCAAGAACAGTTCAATCGTCAAACCTCCTGTTGGTTGGCTAACAACAACAATAACAGCTGTTACAGTAATAACAATCGCAAAAATTTGAACTTTATAAGAAACCATACAGATCCAAAAGAACATTCCCTCAACAGTCATTTGAATGGGATCAGTTCAAATATTACAGGAATGAATAGTGGTAGCACTTTGAATTCGACTATTACACTTCCAGAAATCGCCCCAAAACCACCAGCTCGTACAAAATTAATTATTTCGAACAGTATTAATAATGATACTTCTAATAATATTGATTACAAAAACCCATCAAGATGGCGTTCAGTTAAATCATTATCATCAGAAGACTATGGTTCTGCAAATTTATACGGCCCACAGCCTTATTGTCAACCAACTATTGAATCACATAAAATTATTGTACAAAGATTACCTCAATTCAATTTGAATAACAGTAATAATAATGGTCATAGTGGTTATACAGATCAAATTTCATCTTATTATACTCAATATGAAACTTGAAACAAGTAGTCTTAATACTTCACCCTATACTTTTATGAATTTAAAGCATTCTCGTATATATTTACTGTTCTATTTATCAGAGTTGTATAAACGTGTTTTCTTAAAGAGGAATGTATGTATGAATGATTGTATAATTATTACTTTTTCAACTATACATATAAATAGATTAACCAAACAATAATTTTATTCTTATTTCAGAGTATACACTAATTCCTCAATCTTCATATGTCTATACATGTGTGTATCCATCACTCTCATATACATGCACGTATACAAACTTTGATATGTATTTAGGTTTCATTTCTCATGCCTTTTTTATGCAACACAATTAGTTGACAATAGAAATTAGATGCCTTTTTAATTTAACAAAAGTAGTAATCACTTAATCCGGTTTTATTTTCTCGCTCTACATGCACACACTATAGGCTTAGTTATGTATGTGTGTACATTTGCAGTGCGTTGTGTGCATGCATAAAGTGTATTTCAATAATATACTCAATAAATACTATTTCCCACCAGTCACGTGCCATATATATATATATATATATATATATATATATATATATAATCCACCTTCACAAAATGCTTTAGTTGTCAACTGCCTTTTCATTGTGTACACCTACTAACATTTTATGCATCAGAATGAATTAAGAAATATTACATGTAGACTAACAAACTGAGATTGATTAAAGAGACCAAAGTAAAGAAAATGGACAATAACGTCTTTCAATAATCTTTGTTTTTATATTGAACAAAATATTATTATTACTGTTATCTGATATGTAACTTTAACTTTGTCTTTTTTTGAGCCCCCCCCCAACTTGACAATTAAATCTTATAATTCATCAGGTTTCCTAATTCTTTGTTTTATACATAATCTCTATTGTCTGCTTATTTTTTTTTGACAAACTTAACAATACACAAAATATTATCACTAATCAATAACCATCAGTGAAGTGATTAACCATTTTAATAAACCAGTTAATTTTCTTTAATAATCAAACAATGTTCGTGTTATTTTTGATGTTTACTGATTATTATTATTATTGTCTCATTTATTTTCACATTTCCAAAACATTTCCCTTATTTACCAATTCACTTACTGTGAAATTTCATCTGAATTTTTTAAAAATTATTTTCTATCAAGTTCAGCTGATGTTTATTTTCTTGATGAATTAATAACTCTTCGCGAGTCTTTTCTTCTTTGTTTCTTCTTATTATTCAATTTTTTTGTTTTTCCTCATTGTTTTATGAATGATTCCTTCGAGAATTCTTTTTTTTCTCAGAAAAAAATTTTGTTTATTAGAACGATTTTCTCTTTTTTTTTCTTCATTTGCAGATAATGAATAATACAAAGAATTATGTAATTAATTTCTTTTTTGTATTTTTATTTATGTTAAATTTCACTTTAGTTATTTATCGAAATAAATAATCACTAAGTGACTAGTTACTTGAAAGATAATTTTTTTGTTTTGTTTTTAATATGAATAAGAAGAGTTGTAATCTATTGATTGAATTTTTAATTATTAAGTAGTAGGTTAAAAATTCATTTCATTTTTTATTTATTGTAGTTTGATTAGGTAACTAATATTGCTGGTTATTGCAAATACAAAATTTGTGACTTGAAAACTAAGTACATCAACACTGTATTTGATTAATTCTATCATTTTAAAGATAAGTCATGCCTATGAATTCATAATAATGAATGACGACTATGTACTTTTATTCTCGTGACTAATCTATTCTACTACGACGGTGATTTCTGTTTCGATTTAAAAAAATATTACCTAAATGTACTTTGATTATTGAATTCATCTAATTGAATTAGTTGACACAGTTTTCATAGGGTATTCTTGTTGAATAGATTGATTTTGAAGTGACAGAACAATACTGAAATGTTAATTTTTCTAAGAGCAATTAATTTTGAAGTTTATAGGAATGAACTTTAATATAGTATTGCATTGTTCTGCATTTTATCGACTATTGGTACGTTGAAAGATATTTTTTCCTGAAGGTCAAATCTCGAAATTCAGAACTCGCTGTATTTTTCATTATCATATCATCCGAATATTTGCCCTTCAAATCATTCGCTCTTCATACCTCGTAAGTGACTTCTCAAAAACATTCTCAGTCAAACTATATAATGTAATGAACGGATCTATACCATAACTGTTTGATATTACTAAATTTGTTGTACAATTAGATAGCCAGAATGTATTACATCAATATTCATACATTTCTTCTTCATTAAATGGAATAACTTGTGTATAACTATAAGTGAAAATAAGATTTCATATATAATAATGACTGATTTATCTATTTACAAAGATTAAATTAAATATTCTTAAATATTTTTATATCTGAAGAAGTATGACATTATTTGATCATGTTTTTTTCACTGAATAGTTATTTTAATTAATTAATCAAATATCTAAGAATTTCAATATGATTAAGAACTGGTAATTGTGAAATTAATCCACCAATTCAATGTCATATACATACATCATTCATGAAGTAACCTTGGATACCATCTATACTTATTAGGTCCATATTGATTAATTGTCACCAACTATTTCAAATAAAACTTACAAAAGTTAAATAAAAATATCAGTATTAGTTGTTTCTCAGTTGTTTTCACATAAATATTGAGAATCAAAATAATGCAAAGTTAGTTGATAAGTATCAACTACATTATATTTCACTATAAATTGTTGTAATTTGTTTTTTTATTTATAAAAAAACAAACAGACTACTTATATTGTCTCAACATATTTACTTCATTGTTATTTCAAATTACCGCTATTTTTTATGATGATAGATAACAGTTTAAAAAAAGACAATTTGTTTTTATTATGTAAATAAATTTGTGAATAATTAAAACAATTTTGTATATAAATTCATTTTTATTACCATTTTTTTCTATATTTGAATAATGTGTAAATGTGTTACATTTAATTTGAACCATTACTTATATTTGTCAAAAGTTCTTTTATATTTCACCTATCATAATGACATATTTGTTATTGTTTCATTTTAGTTGTTTGGTTAAAAAATATTTTTATAATTAGACTTTATAATTATACGTCTCGTACGCAAGAATGATAGGTCCTAGATTCGAATCTCGCGAGGTGGGATCGTGGATGCGCACTGCTGAGGAGTCCCATAATAGGACGAAACGGTGGTCCATTGGTTTCAGGTTTTTCATGGTGGTCTAGCTTCAATTGACTCATAATTTCAACTATGTATAAAATTACTAAAATCTCCACAAAACCCCTTTTCTGAAATGATAATCTATTAAATGAATTAGATAAATAATTTATTTATCATAAATTTACATCAATAAACTTAAATCATTCAATAAATCAGTCAGTTACAAAAGTTGTAAAACATTACATTAATGTGCATCAGTTCAATTTAACACATTGAACAATTGGTAAAGCAAGAATAAAAATTACATATGATATCATATTCGATCAAATTTTCATTTGAGATACATAGTTCAAATGAAAAAAAAGAAGCTAGATATATAAAAATTGGAAAATACAAAGTAACATTAATCCTGATTTTTTTGTGAGAAAAGATAGATAAAGAATGCCTTTTTGCTAGTGAAGGAATTCGTTAAGTTCACTGTTATATATTGACTAGCTCCAATCATCTAGTGTGAAATAAAGAACGCCATGGTATTGAGTAATTCATGCTGGTGATCATGGTCCAAATCGATTATCAGAATTTGATTAGTTTCATGAAATATGCAAAATAGTATTTGTTATTACTCACTGGTTCAAATGCATCACATTTGATCTTAGACATTAGGATAATAGATCCAGTTCCACATAAAGCCTTGAGTACACAGACCAGTCGTCTGTGAATGTGATGCAGATGCATTTGAGAAAGACATGGAACTGCTGACTGATATGCTGATATTAAATGGTTACCAGCGGAAGTTCATAAATCGATATAAAAGCCAGTTAACACCGAAACCCTTTTTTAATACTTTTGCCAAGATAAGGGTTTATATCTCTTTACCATACGGAAGTGAGATAAACAGTATAGTTTTTAGACAGGAACTAAATGCGGTCATCGAGAAAACATACATAAATAGGGAAGAGTAACCAGACAATGCAATCTAGAGTTATGAAACACATACCTGGGTGGTTTAAGAATCAATTAATACCAAATGCCCTGATAAGCATGGAGAGTAGAAAACCACGTTTATTTGAGATCAAAGAATACAATTGAGACAGAGCATGGAATTAACACTAATACTGTTTTTAAAGCTTTGTATCGAAATCGTTAAGGATGAATCCTTAAGTTTATAGAAGCCTTAACTATTCGTAAATTTAAACCGTCCTTTTGTGTACAAAAACACTTTGTCGTAACCTTTAATCTACCCTGGTAATCTTTATGTCATTTAACGGCCTACAGTGATATGATCATTTCTTATTCTTTCCATATTTTACTGACATTTTTCTCTTTTATTTACGATTATTATTTTTTGCATACTTGGACATATATTTAGTCGACATTTATTACTTTGTATACATCAACGCCTTAACAAGCATACGTATGACCAGATTACTCGAAGTGTACGGCCCGAATACGTCACATCTTTCAGATAAAATACGTCTCACTTTTCTATTGAAATTTATAAAAAGGATTAATTGTTTTGAATACAAAATTTGAAATTGACGAACTCAACACATAGAGATTAATATCGCTTCCAATTTGTCTAAACATCCCCTCTTTCCCAAACAACCAAACAGTAAAATATTCTAATAAGACATTTGACTGATCAGTGACAAATCATTATTGAAATTTGTATGTTAGGTCTAATCGTAAAGCCTTATAGAATATGAGATTTCAACCCTTCTATAGAGAGAGATAAAATGATGAGATCTGTTCTTTTCATATAAATTTTTATTCATATGCCACACACAGAATGTCAATAAACTTTGAATAGTTACTCTGGTAAATTACAGTAACAAAGAAATTCAATGACATTTACTATTTTCATAATTTGCATTCACCTGAACAAATAAACAAAAGAGACAATCCCATTCTCGGTCAATATTTCATTTTTTTCTACCTTTAACAGGTTTTTTGTTAGCTCCACCAGATGCTGCTTCATTTTCAGCTTGAATAGCTAAGGCTTTCTGTTTACCAAGAGGTGTTTTACGATACCATACCTGTAAAAAGAACATTTAAATCTATCAAATGATAGAAATATCAAAAAAATAATAATCAATAAAAAGTTAATCAAATAATCTTAGGTAATCTCAGTTGTTAAAAACGATCATTTATAATGGATAATTTAGTGACCAACTGAAATTGGATGAAAGTCTAGGTCACTTTAAAAGTTGAATTGATGAGCCTTAGTGTTATTAACATTTCAATAAACGAACCAAGGTATGATAAGAAACGGCTAGTCAAGTTTCAATTTTCTTCAATTGATTCTTACAATCATTTTATTGTGAATGAATTACACTGAAATGAAAATAGATGAACATGAAATATTCATTCTTCTATAGGTTCCAATATTTTACAGGATGAGGCATGAAGGTGTTGTATCAGTTTATATGTTAAGCCTATATACTTTATTCTAGCTTCTGGCCAAGCCAATTCGCCTGTCCATTATGAGTCATGTTTACACCTTGTTATTTATTCACTTATTAACTCTGACCATTTTTTATATGAGCGTACATGTATGCACACTTCTTATCCTACTTATCGCACGTCTGTCATTTATTCTTGTCTGGTTATAAATATTAATTAACGCTTGCTTAAAGTGAGTTGGCTTACCAGCCATCTTCAGCACGTGTCATGTATGCTTCGCTCGCTGACATTTGCTAATGCGCTTACAGCCATCTGGCCTACGTCATTTGTCAATAAAAATGTAGTTGCCGCTTCCTTTTGCCTTCTGATTCTATACACCGTTAAGATTGGTATAATAACGGTTATCGAGGCGATCAATTAGCGAAGCACGGTACTACAAAGGAAAGATTGTCTTACTTTCAACATCTTTATAAACATCAAAATATGAGTATTAGATCATTTTACAGTAAGTAGATAAAATATGCATCATATGAAATGAATGCTGTTCTTTTTTTCTAAATATCCGCCTTATTTCATTAGTTTGACAGTATTTATATACACTAATATACAAATAAAAGAATTTTCATCGGATCATTTGTTGTACACTAATGACAACATTATTTGAGTGTACACCTTTCCAGTCAGTTAACTGAGATTTATATACTTAACATGAATTAGTGTATTAGTCAAGTACACTTAACTTCCACTTATGAAAATATATAAAAGTGAATATAACAGTGAATGGATTATGCACTAATTTGAAAATGGAAGCAATAAGCATAGTATAGACAATTCAAACACTAATATTTCTAATGCTTTTTTTTAGAGGATTTAAGTACATTCTTGTAAGAATTTTCAAACTTGTTAACATTGAGGTACAAACAACTGAAATCATTTTTTAATTAGACTATATACCTACCTACTACTACCAATTATTTAGGTGAGATTTATACTTGTTCAGATAATCATGATTTTCATAGACAATTCAATAAAGCTTCTATTTGCTTACAACGGGTATATCATCAATTTTAGCATACGGTTACACATACTTTCAGAAGTTGAAATTCAAAAGCTATAACAGATATACGAAGACGGAACTCATGAAAATGATCTTTGGTTATTCAACACTGATTACTAATCTAAAAAGTTGGTCCGTAACATTTGTGTGGAACACGGGGATAAATGGTATTATAATAATTTTTCTTCAAAACATTACAAATTATCTGTAAAATTTACTGTTCCAGTGACAACGACACATGGTCAAGTGATCTTTTTTGTTTAGAGGTTATCAGTGTAAAGGTCATAAAATACCGATCATTTTCTGATACTGTTGACAATTTCGGTAAATCAGATTGATATATTTCCTGATAGTACTCTTTAATTGATCCATCTTTAACTGGGTGAAACCGTTGATTGAATTGGATTAAAGCTACTTCGATTACCTACATGTTTTCCAATAGTCAGTCACTAATATAACAGTAGTATTAATCACGATGACTCACCTTATATGCTTCTTCTTCATCAGCGAATACTGGATCAACCTGGGACAATGGTGTAATAAATTCTTCAGCTTTTAAACATCTCCTACTTAACTGAGCAATACGCCGTTCCGTAATAACTTGACTACATGCTTGAGCTATTTGACCAGATGTATAACCATCAGATATTTTTGTTAATGAAGTAATATCTAATTCATCTGTTAGTATTCCTCCATGACGTATAATTTGTGTTCTCCAGATAACTAAAATAAGGTTGTAAGAGATTGGACGATAAAAGGTACTACAGATTGGTAAATCATGTTATTAATTTTACTTTCAAAGACCAGTCACAATCAAGAAGCACAGAGTAACCATTTCGATTTTACTTCTCACGAACTTGTCGGTAGTATACAATTTTAACTCTCTTCAGTGGATACATTTGAAAACACTGAGGTTCCTCGATAAGTATGACATTAACGGATTGTTTTGACGACGTTAGCGTCAATCGATGAGTAAATCTATTGAACAGAAAGCTGCTGTACAATAATTTACTTTAGTTATGCATGGAATTTGTAGATTGATAATGTGTAAAAAGTTAATATTTAATCAAGGATAACCTTGAATTATATGTATGGTGAGAACACAGAGTGAGTAATGCTGCATTTAAGCATCAGGTTTTAGGTAAATATGGTTAGTTAGTTGCTAAAGCTACAAAACTTTATCAACTTTCGTCAAGTCACTGAATGCAGAACTAAATCGCGTAAAGCGAAGAAAACTTCTCAGTCAAGATCATCGAGATAATCTTAATTTCTGAGTAGATACACAGCATGATACCTATTCCATTACATTAGATTTATATATTTTTTTATCTTCATTTAATTCCTGATGTAAATAATTACTGAAAACTTTTCGTTTGTTCCTTTCAAACTATGTCTCTTTTTTTTGAGTTTTTCACTTCAATCTACTTTAATTTAAAATGGTAGCTTACAGCTCGTAATCTGTTTTTTATGCTATTCTAATGTGAGCTTTGGGGACATGAACAGAGAAATATTTGTATCAAATTCTATATTGTCTATATTTGATCGAGTGACTTCAATCGTTTAAATAAATTTCATACATAGAAATCTAAACAAACTTACTATTTCTAGAAGCATAATCTGGTCTTGGTATTAAAATAATTTTTTGATATAATTTACAAAATGGTCGAATATCTGCTTCAAATGGCGCTGATGAACAACCAATAAGTAGGACACGATCACTCGGTGTTAAAATCTTCATCGCTTTCGGTAATTCCTTTTTTAATCTTTTAGGATCTGTCTGTATGATGGTCAGAAGTGAAATACTATGTATAAATTAATGTAAAATTTTGTCATGGTTACACATAAATACACATAAAAACTAATGGAATTAATAATAAAGTAAACAGTTATAACTATAACTAACGAACTAATTGATTGATCAAGTGAATTGATGAAGACTCTGATATACCATATGAATTATAAAAGGAACAGCATCAACTTTTAGGAACTATGTGTTTTAATAGTAAGTTACTTGAACCAGATAAGATTGATGGATATAATTTTAACCATTATTTTTCATTTTTTTAGTTGAATGGATTAGGTATTTCCCAGGAAACTTCATCTTGATCAACATACGTTTTAAGAATATTCACAATCTCACCAGCCAAATATAACTAGATGGGATTTTTTCTGCACAGTTTCAAATGATTTATTAAATTGACGCTATCAAGCAACTCATAATGTTCTGTGACACGCTTTACTTGTTTACTCTGGTCAGAAATAGCATGTCGATATCCGGAAATAATTACTGCGATAATGTAGGAGATTTTTAGCTTAATAGGGTACTTTTAGAAATTTATAGACCTCCGGTTTTAAAAGTTTATTTACACAATCCTAATTGTCGTTCTGGACCATATCGTCAGAAACTACTTCATATAAAAGCTTTGTGATTAAACAAACTACTTTAGAAAACAACATCAGGATCAGAAGAGAAATAAAAATAACTTGAGAACTAATCATTTAAGAGGTTTGAAGACTTTTGGAGAAGATAGAAATCAAATGTACAAATGTCGTTTTTAATCATCCCAAGTTACATAACCTTTAGTGTCAAATCCCTTAATTCATCTAATCAACAGGTTTCACTAGATAAATTTGGAGTTTTTTATGTGTATAGTGCCTTTAAATCTACTTGTCGACAAATATAATATCTTATCATGAGCTAAAATTCTCTGTTCAAAATCCCATCCACTCTAAAATTCGACCACGTCATAAGAGGCTCAATAATTTAAATATAAATAGATCATCAAAAATTGTAGAATTCTAAACCGAACTTGCTTGTTTAGTGACAAGCCAACCCTTCCTAGCCTAGTAAATCATCAAATAAAGATTTCCACCGGTCACATGTACCGCGCGAAATTGAAAATACCCAATAATTTCATGTAAATACAAGTTTAGTATTAGCAGTATTAAAATGGGTAGAGTAAATTTCAAAAAACTGCAGCCTTAAACAATAAGTGTCCAAATGGAATCAGGAAGAAATAAGCAGTAAATATCGTAGACTATTTTTATTTTTGACCGGCAGATTTAAAATCTCAGTTAATCTGCAGACAAATCACTGATCATAATTTAATACTGGCAAAAATAAGTCTGAGATTATTTACTAAAATGCAGACATAGTAAACTGCATACAAGGGTTAAATATTGTATGCTCCTTTTTTATATTCTTTCATGAACCTCACCTATTTACCAGAAACCAAAGTCTTGTATTAGTACAGTTAAAATCTGGCAATATTTCACATCACATGGAGAATATTTCTTAGTAAATGAACTAAGAGTTTATTGGTATCAAATATTTGGTTGAATATCTTTTGGCTTGTCTGGTTAAATTTTAATCAAACCTATTTTAACTACTTATAAGTAGCTACGCTTACACCTTAATTTTTACTTCTCTTAACTTACCAAATCAGTTTTGGGAAGCTTCTTTTTAAACATTTTTTCACAATCGTTAATCAATATTACAGAGGGTTGAAGAAGCCGCCCAACTTTAAAAACAAGGTGTACCAACATTCTAAGACCATCTTTACCAGGATATTTATCTGCAATATTTTCTGCAGATAAATCGAATAGATTAGCTCCAGTTTCAGTACATATAATATTGACCAACGAACGTTTACCAGTTCCATGTGGTCCAGCCAATAGAAGAGATTTTATGAACGGAGCCTTTTCATGAACATTCTGTGAGCCTTTTAAAAAAGGATTATTGAATAATAATAATAATAAATGAATATTTTTATCCGATATTATAATAAAGTGACCAAAGGAATCACCTATGTGAAGTAATTAGCTGTCAAACTGGAATTTACTTCCGTTTTAGTGTTAATTGTCAGGAAACATAAATACTCCTTCTATGTGAATATAAGTTTACAAGGAATCCCTTTTATTCATAAGAATCAACTATCTAAAATCTAGTGACCCTTATTGTATTGATCTGTTAGGTAAAATCAAAACTCCTTCGTAATTATTCATAGAGACATTCATTAATACAATTGATTGTAAAGGTATTCCTTGTTAGAAAATCATCGCTAATTTGATGCGATTCCATATATTATTCATCGCTAATTTGTCTCACTAATTTACTGGAGCTGTTATTGTTTATCTTCCACGGACAAAACCTAAACGTCAGTGGATAACAGGCAGCTATTGTGAAAGATTCAAATGAGTAAATTACGATTATCATTCATCTGCAATTATAAAGCCATTAAAGACAACAGAACACCTGACAATATCCTTTTGAATTAAACAGTTTTCAAGAACTTTATATTTTGGTAAAATTGAAGGTTGGAAATTATATATATTACTTACCTAATGGTAGAATAGCATATTCTGTCACTAATCGACGTACATCACTTAACGTTGGTTGTGGTTCAAGATTGGCTTGTCTTAACGTTGTACCTAAATAAGAATATTCCCCAGAATATTCATTCATTGAGTATTTTTCAACTTTTCTAATTATTCCAGCTAATACCAATTCTTCAAAAAGTGAGATCAATGTTCTTTATGTGTAAATTATTTGACAATTTAGTCGAACACGGTTGAGTTTGGACGGTGAAGTGTATAGAAATAAAGGAAGAAAATGGAAAATGATTTAAAAGTAATAGGAATAGTAATAAAGTATGTATGATGAACCTTTATCTTGTGCTTGCGCTTATCTATTATTAAAATCAACAATTTCAACTCAGGACATAGGATTGATCTTAACTCGACTTTTGTGGTGTTGTATAAAAGTGTAAAAGGGCATATACTAAGGTTTATTGAAGCCTTAGACATACGAAAATTCGATCCCCCTTCGTGTATTCAAGAACATTTTGTTCTCACCTTAAACGTACCTTGGTAATAACAGCTTATTAACCAGAGTGATTAGGTGTCAAATTGTTTTCACATTATTTTTATTATTATTATCGTTGTCTACTCAAATCCCCCATTTCCAGTCTGGTTGACCTTTTATTTTTATATATAAATGTTCTAAACAAGTATATATATGATCAGATTGTTCGAAATGTATTGTGCTCATATATCACATAGTTCTGATAATCTTTGTCTTCTTATTACACTATCGAAATTTATCAAAGGGACTAATTGCTTTAAATTTCAACTCAATCATATAGAGAATCTCTCACTGTTAATTTGCTAACCGATATTATTATTAGTACAAAGTCTGGCATTTCGTTTTTCGCTTATTTACTTATTCTATCTAGGAAAACCACATAGTTTCCAACATTAAATTAACCAGTTTAAAGAAGACAGTACTCACAATATCCACTTTTAGATCTATAAATCGTTCATTGCTCTTTTTTGGTTTGGATTACCAATTATGAAAACATCAAAGAACCTAAACTGTCAATCTAAACTTCTCACAAATGGTTATAACAGAGGAATAATAACTGAACTAAAAAGGTTCCGAATATTTTGTGATAACTAAAAACGTATTTAAAGATGAGTCCCAAATAGGACGAAAAGCGCGTCCTAGATTCCACTGCTATCTATCTTTGCTTACAATGCTTGTGAAATAAGGCTATGTCGAGGCAATACGCACAGTATGCACATATGCCAATTAGAGACTAACCAGATGCAGTCCTAAACATCAATGGGAAGATTCAAACAAACAATACTAAGTGAATTTACAAACGTATTTAGATATTTAATTACAATTTATGCTTGTTTTTAGTAATGTAACTTTGATATATTGGGTTGAATTACTCATTATTTAACAAAGCATTATCAAAAACCTTCTCACACTCGTACATAATGCTTACTGGGATAAACGACATAAAGAATCTAACTGGGTCAAAGTAAATCACATTCAGCTGTGGCTTGAGAAAGTCATTTGTTCAATTTTAAATATTTTGAGTTAATTCTTCTGTAATGAAGGCTCATTAAGACTCATTTAAATCAATGACAATTACGGAACAAACAAACCTTATTTCAAGTATTTATTTACAGTGTTTTTGTTACATTTAAGAATGTTATTACATTATTTTGTGATGAGTGAGTATGACATTGATAAAGTTTATCTAGGATTAAAATCCAGCCACTCAGAAGTAACTGATGTCATATATATCTATTCCTTTATCGGGGATCAAATTTTATCCCTCAAGTTGTAACGTTGACATTAGTGTAATTGATCTGACTTGGCTTTCAGTCTTTTTAAGTATTGGATACTTGGGACCGTTTGACAGGCGCAGGATTTTCAGTCAGTATTGGCCAACATGTGATTCCAGTCATTCACCACTAAGTATTCGTATCAATAACTTACATTTTGTTGCTTGTGAACATATAATGATAATACTGATCATGAAACAGAACACTTTAAGAAACAAAACATCTCTTCTCTATATCACTCTGTCCTACCTGTCCGGTGTAAGGTCTTTCTCCTTTTTTCTTCTGCCTTTTTTACCTTTTCTGCCTTTCTTTGCACGTTTTTTCTTCTTTCGTTGAACACGTTCTTTGTCAATTGCAATTTTTAAATTTCTCAACTCTTCACGAAGTAATTCATCAACCTGTTTATATATGTATGTAAATTTATGTATCAAAAAGTAATAAGTACCATGTATCAATCAATAAAGCTTCATGTTTATGTCTATGAGACATTTAATGTCGAGTAGGGAACAAACTGTAACAACACTGTAAATTAAATGAACTAGTCTTGTGAAAACCGACATATTTTTTGAAAGTGATTTTCATAATAGATTGATATTAAATGGATAATCATTAAAAATCAGGGAACAACGGACACGTAATTTGGCTCGGTTCTTACAGCCTTACTATGTCTATGTCTACTCAATTTAGCTTCCGATTTTTAAGTTATATTTAAGAACCATATATTCACAGATCATTATGTCATAATCCATTGATTTGTATTAGCTAGTGATAGACAATTTAATATGTGCGATGATCTAAGCTACCAAACCTTATCAGTATGGCGAGAAGAAGTTAACAAGATGGGTAGCAAAAAGATCAGCATAAACTGATTTAAAACTCAATATTCAAGCAGTACCCGTCCCTAAGTGAACTTATTTATGGTTGATAATTTTGATTTCATTTATCTCCTTGAAGAAAAACAAACTAGAAACAGACTTTTTAAGTGAAGTTGACAAATCCAATTTCATTTTGAATGTCATTTATATATCAATGATAAATATTTATTAAACTATTCTTTCAAATCATGATATAAACTTTATATCTAAATTCAAATTACCTGAACTCGTATTTCTGTTTCAACTTCTAAACGTTTATCTTCTTTGATAATTTCCTCATCATAATGTTGTTGAAAATTGTCAGATTCATCACGATTTTTCCATAATGCTTATAATGATAAAAAAAATTTCAATAAAAATAGATTCAGTTTCATTCATGTACTGATGTTATACACACAAACACATATGAGCCAATCTAAGCATTCAAAAGAATGTCATTTCTTGGAATTATGTAGAAAATAAAAATAAAAGTAGATTGCTTTTGAGATGGTGAAGAAGATTTGTAGCTCAGGTGGATGATTTTAATAGAGTTTTGTTCTCTGACCTGGATGGTTTGGTTGTGGAGTTTTCAACGTTCACTGAACGACATCATCATCACAGACTTCAGATAGAAGTGAAGTTTTTGAATTTCTCCACATATTGCTCACACCTTGTCCAATTTACCCAATTTATCAACCAATCAGAAAAATCATGGACAAACATAGGAACAAAAATCAAACCAATGGGAGATACGACTAAAATATAGAAGTCAACAATGACAAGTTTAAGGTCAACAATGATCAATCAACATCGAAGTCTACAGGACAAGCTGTGAGCCATATGTGGAGAAATTCAAACGCTTCACTTCTATCTGAAGTTTGTGCCGATGATGTCGTTCAGAAAAACGATGAAAGCTCTATGATCAAACCATCCAGCTCAGAGAACAAAACTCAATCATAAGTTGATTGCTTACCAATATGAAAATTTATCAGTTGTCTTCAGATATTTTAACACTAATCAAAATCATAAGTAGGTAAAACAAAATACTCAACTACAGATGTGTTTTTCGAAAAATTCTCACTAATGTTAAAATTTATAATCAAATAGTGACGAGAGTAGATATAATGAGGGTAACTATGTTGATGAGATTGTATTCTTGTATCATTTGAGCTCAGTTGTTAATGTCTTCTAACTTGTGAACTAATTAAAGTTAAAACAAATTCTAAAACACAAAAATAACAATAAGGTTAGCTTGTCAAGTACACGATATTGATTACTGCTTCAGACACTAATGACCATTTTGTACTTTATAGAAAGTTCTAATTAAGTCTAATATTTCATCGATATTTTCACAAGTGTTTAAGCCATAGTTAGGAGGTACCTGACAATGATATACAGACAAATGATTATTAGTTTTTTCATCCCTTCAACTTTACAGATATATGTGAAATCCAGTAATTTTTGTTAAGAACTGTAATCTATGATCATTGACATTTAGCTTCAACGTAAATTATTAAACTGATAAAATTGCAAAGGTTGCTTCAATCCACTACATTTTCTAATTTTATGCACATTATCGTCTAACTTATTGAAGAAAGAATACTTTTGTTCTTCCGTTATTTGTCCCCAAATGATAAATTTGTATTGAATTCTTACCAGTTTGTGGAACAATCAGTTGAGTAGAACTCGTCACTATGCATCAACTTCATTGATTATGAGAAGGCGTTTGAAAGTGTGGACCGGAGAACATTATGGTAACTTCTTCGACACTATGGAGTTCCTCAGAAAATTGTCAACCATATCCGGGACTCATACGACGGACTACAGTGCAATGTGGTGCATGGAGGACAGCTGACAGATGCATTTCCAGTAACGACCGGAGTTAGGCAAGGCTGTCTACTCTCCCCCATGCTCTTTCTTCCGGTGACTGACTGGATTATGAAGACGTCGACATGTAAGGGGAAGCACGGAATACAATAGACATGTAAGAACCGATTAGACTATTTGGACTTCGCAGATGATAAAGCCCTCCTATCATATACACAAGAACAAATACAGACGAAGACAGCAAATGTATCAGCAGCCTCTGCATCAATAGACCTCAACATACACGAAGGAAAACGCAAGATTCTCAAATACAACACGGAGAACACCAACCCAATCACACTTGATGGAGAAGCTCTGGAAGAGTTGGAAACATTCCCGTATCTGGGAAGCATCATGGATAAACAAGGAGGATCGGGTGCAGATTTAAAAGCGAGGATTGGCAAACAAGGATAGCATTCCTACTATTGAAGAACATATGGAAGTCAAAACAAAGGTCAACTAATTTCAAGGTGAGAAGTTTCAATACGAGCGTCAAAACAGTCCTACTGTACGGAGCTGAAACGTGGAGAACTACTACATCTATCGTCAAGAAGGTACAAGTATTTATAAACAGTTGTCTGTGCAAAACACTCAACATTCAGTGGCAACAGTCTTTTGTGAGAGAGGACAAACCAGCTTCCAGCTGAAGAGTAAATTAGGAAAAGACGTTGGAAGTGGATCGGACATACATCAAGGAAATCATCAAACTGCATCGCGAGGCAAGCCTCACTTGGAATTCGGAAGAAAAAGCGGAAAAGAGGAAGGCCAAAGAATAAATTACACTGGGAAATAGAAGCAGATATGAAAAGGATGATTGTTAACTGGAAAGAACTGGAAAGGATTGCCCAGGACAGGGTTGGATGGAGAATACTGGTGGGTGGCCTATGCTCCTCCACAAAGGGTAACAGGCGTAACCAAGTAAGTAAGTCTTACTGGTTAATATGGGTACATAAAATGCCATATATGAAGATATGATTTATAAGTTATGAGAAGAAGAAACCTACCTTGATAATTATGACATCCCTCATGTATTTCAGCAAGAAATGCTGATGGTGAGAATTTGAATCCTTCTGTTTCCTCCTATATGTTATTTAGAATATATACATTTATTACTATGATGTTAAATATTAACAGAAAGGCAGTCGGTAATTAGGTAATAATCTGAGCCATTTGTTTATTTCTTAAGGCTAACTAAATTTAACAGACAATCATGATGGTTCAGCTTACTAAAAATAAGAAAATGAGTAATTGGATTCTTACAACAATGTCTGGTGATAATGATGTGAGTGACTTTTCTGTCTACTTTTGTTACAAACGTATTCATAATTTCACTGAGATTAGTGAATCTAATCATGACAATATAAACATGTTGCCTAAACCAAAGTTAACTCATTTATTAATGGTTTTTTGTTGTATATTTAAATTATGACGGGATTTTTCTGAAAGGTATTCTTAAAACTTTATTTTTGAATCAGTTAGCTCAAGCAAATTTGCAGAAATCAGGTCAGAGTTTCATTATGTAGATTTTTACCTAATTACAAGAACGATCTTAAACACAATTCTGTTTATTTTAAGATGTAGTTGTGGTGGTTAAAACACACGACAAATAACCAGAAAAGGGCACGTTCAAACTCTCTTCTGTCTGATCAAGTCTTCATGTTTAGGTAGTTTTATTTGCTTACATACGAATACTATAGTTGTAAGCTAAGCATATAAATCTGCACTCAATAGATTAGGCATATTAGTTAAACTGATTATTCGATAGTTCTTCTATAACTAAATAACATTCGGGGAATATTTAGGATTGAATATCTGTGAATTTTTCATTTCGTTCACTTTGTCCAAAAACTAATAAGTAGTAAAGACATGTCATTATAGGTACATACTTTTACTAGCATCTTGAGTGGTAGAGATTACGTTTTTTCAACATCAAGATTAATTGAACTTTCAAAACTCCTTACACATGACGGATAAAAAAAAATGAAATTACGAACATTTCCAAACTTATGCTCAGAATTTTCAGTGTTTCCTAGGTTTTCTACTCCACAGCACAAAACCATATTTATGCTTTAAAGTAATAAAACGATCTAAATGTACGAGATCAATTCATAGTAATTCGAAGGAAGATAGAGTTATTCTCATAAGCAAATTTACGGTAACATTGAACAGAGATAAAAATAACTATCTTCCATCGATGATAAATTTTGTTGTCATATCGAATGAAGACTTCCTGTAGGCCCTCACAAGAAATTACTTGTTCTGAATGACCATCACGTATAATCAATCTCATAAAATCCGTTGAGTAGAAACGTCAAAATTGCCAATATGTTCAGTGTGAGAAACCGATAGTAGTAATTAACACAAGATGATTTTGTATTTTATAAATTTGTTATCAACATTTTCATTTCAGAAGGGGTTTTGCGGATATTATAATAATTATAATAGTTGAGATCATGAGTCAATTGAAGCTAGATCACCATGGAAAACTTGAAAGTACTGGACGGCTGTTTCGTCCTATAATGGGACTCCTAACCAGTGCTTCCAGGTTTTCCACAGTGGTCTAGCTTCAATTGACTCATGATCTCAACCACTAAAATTTTAATTTCAGTTGATAAATATTCACCTGCATCTAAATGATTTAATGATTATTTAACAGTAAACAATGTAAATCATCCATAAAATTGAACTGTATAAGACATGACTGTAAACATACTTCTCCTTTTTTCTTTTGTTTATCATTCTTTTTAGGTGACGGTTTATTTTTGCTTTTTCCGCTGCTTTTACCTTTCGATTTTTGACTTGCCTCATCCTGTGAGATAAATAAATGTTATGGAGCAGAATAATCTTTATGTAAATGATAATAATTTCAGTTAATTTTAATTCGTTTGAAAAAAATTCCCAACTAACAGTAGCTAAAGTATCATTAAAATACAGAGAGGGAGAGACAAACACCTGGAGATGGTTGGTTATTTTCCCTTAGTTTTACATACCTCAGGGATGCAAGTCAATAGTTTCAAATAGAATTTAAAACTATAAATCAATATACCGTAGTTAACAATGATAACTAATAGATAAGTATAAATAAAACGGTCCTGTATTTCGACTTTATTTAATCCGGTGATCATCATCCAAGATCATATGTGAATGTACGCTTTACTCAAAACTTGAATAATTCCACGGATTATAACTTTGTACCAAATGTGTGATTATAGAATAATGACCATATGTCATCCGAATAAAATAGGTAGGGAACGAATACTTTGTACGATAAACTAGGGAGAAAATGGGTACTCTCATGGATTTATAAAAAGCACAATTACAAAATTAAACAAAAGGAGGTTCAAACAACTAACAAAGCATAACCGTTTATCGACCTAGTATCTACCGATGATAAACCCAATGAACTGTTAGTCCTGAAGTCAAGCAAAACAAATAAAAGAACTTTTATCACAGAATAACTATAACTAATGTTTTTCACGTTCTCGACGATGACACTGATACCAAAGGATGAATCTAGTAGATTATCTACGGCCTTTTTTATCTTAAAATTCAACTACTGTAAAGCAGTTTACATTGACAGATATTCTAAGAATTTACTTTCCTTGTTCGTGAACTCCTTTCAGCATGTCTAATCAAAGATGTGGCGAAAACTGCCAACAAGTCTACGTTAGTTCATATATTTTAACATAACCCTTCATTATTAATAATCTACCATGTTATGACTAGTTTTCTAAATTTAGTCAGGCTCTGGATCATTCACATAGCGAAAACGATTCCAGAATGAATTAAAGAAACTGAAATTTCGTTTTCAAAAGAAACAGGCTCAGAATATTTTCTCACTTTGGACAACCGAAAATCCCAATAGCCTTTTTAATTATAAGATGACCTACTGCAAATTTAAATATCTCATTCCTCTCTACATTCCCATAATCCAAGTATATCTGATTTAATTACTTTTTCTTATAAACTTAAACTTAATTCATGTAATTGCATGCGTTGTGTAATCCCTGATTTAATTTATCAATCATATTATGATTTCTCTCATCCTATTCTGCCTATAATTCTCCTATTCTGGTCCATATTGGTTGGTATTTATTTCAGCATTAATGCACACAAGCTCGAACTTCGTAAATTCAATTACTAAAAGTTGATTGGTCCCAAAATCGGTCATACATTTCCATCTGTGATTTCTCTCTATACATGTAGAACATGATGTGAATTGATTGAAAAGAGTCTTTGTCATTCATTTATATGTCTTTGTCTTAATAAAAGCGAGAATATTATTTAAACGAATAAAAAAAACATATTACTTTTTCTCTCAGTTCTCTTTCTAATTCTTCTGGTGTTTTCTCCTTGAAAATTAATGCAGAACCTCCTTCATCCTCATCTGGATAGTCAGGAAATTTTCCAGTTGCATCTCTAGTAAATACAAGTGTTATATGTTACTTAGATAGAACTTTATAGTTTCGAAAAAGATATCAACTTTATAATAGCCCTTGATATTCCCCCAAAATAATACCTCTGAATTTAAGAAAGGTAGAAACTAGTCACTCTGCATATCACTATCATCAAACAATATTTAAATATTTAAATGTATTAAGTCTTGACAACTTTATTCACAGGTTAAGTTTAATCCATTTTCATATTCTACTGACTTCATCATATGTGAGCAGTAGCAGTAGAAAAACGTTGACGAAGTAAATGGCATAAGGTAAATTAACAATCAATGTCATCATGTTTTTACCTTAACTACAGTAACTCTCGAACAAATTGTCTATGTTTTCATTTTTATTTAAATCCGAGAACATTAAAAATCTTATCAAGCTCCATGTCAAATTATACTGTTCACTCCTACTTTCACTGATTAAACCAACTTCAGAACACTGTAGTTAAACAGTAAATTATTATCATTTGTAATAGAAATTCATATGGTGATCAAAATTATTTATCAAAGGATATTAAATATTCGGTTTCATTCTAGAGTCATGCTTCCTATAGCATGATGTATTTTAAAATAATCGGAAATTAAGTGAACATGTACATTAATCCTTTTGTTCATAAAAAGATTTACGGCTGACCAAAAACTGTCCTGATAAACTCTATACTACTATCTTTTCTCTCCTTTTTTCTTAAAAGATTTCAAGTTTTTGGTTTATTTATTTGACCTTTAATGTTGACGAACATATTTGTTTGAAAATGATGTTTTTCACTTGACTTTATTTAAGTTATGTGGTGTGTGCTACTGATGTCGACAGATATAAGTAGTATGTATCATCAATCGAAAGTGGAATGTCTGGCAGCAGAAGGTTAAAAAGATCAAAGAAAAGAGAACGACAACAATAAATGATTGATGTGGAAACAAAAAAGAATAATGAAGTCTAAGACGATTGACTGATATTTACAAAAAGAACCAATCAAATTTGAGACAATTGATTGATATTTTGCAAATAAAGTATTTACTGTATGGTTCCAAAATTTTACTAAGATTCTCTGTAATTTTGTGTTCAAATACTTTGATTGTTCTCACTTGGGTTCTCATTCAGTACAATTGGACTAGATGTGTTAAATTTGGTTAGGATCGGATAAATTATTTTAGTAATTTAGTAAATTTGGAAAGAAAAATGCATTTGGCAATTTTTGTTGTTGTTGTTTTGATCATTTCAAGTAATGACCATCCATATTGATCTTGTTTTGATCATTAAAACTTTTCTGATCATTCTATCTATGAAATTTTATCCCTATTACAAATTACAAATGTAATGAATTCATATTATTCTGCATCAATATTTGTTCTGTCTTTATGTAAATTCATAAAAGGAACTGATTGCATGAAGTAATAAGAATTCACTTGAAATAATCATTGTTTTCTTTTTTAACACACTTATGTGCATCTATGTATATTTGTAGCAAGTAATTGATTGATCAATGGGTTACATTTATATTCATTCTGGATTAACCAGTAGTTATATTGTTTTGTTTGAATATTTTGTACACTAACAACAGCTTTATTTCCTTGATCGACTAGCTCTCACGTCTTAAAATCTATCTTCTAGGATTTTGAACTTATATGAAAAAAAGTATCAGTTTAGCAAATTTAATTATCCTAGAATTGCATTAAAACAAAGCTTCCATCATAATATTGTTGGAATAAAAATGTAAACTTAAATTGCGACTAATATAATTCCAGATATAGTGATAATTTTCTTACAAGAATGTTATTGCACTTTGGAGTTGTCTAGGATTGTATTACTTCAATGAAGAGAAACATATACCCTACTATATCATGCTCAGTAGTATATATACAGATGGACAGATAGACAGATAAACTAAATCCAATAGTTTCACCTTTTTTCAACTTCAGAATACGTAAATTCATATCCGATATAAAAGTGATTATCAATTTTTTTCTTAATCCTGTGGTGAAATACCCAAATAATGACAACCGTAATTATACTGATAATAGTTATAATAAGAATTTTCCTCAACCATAAAATGACCTTGTGACTTAAGACAATCCCCACAGGATGCAAATATGCCAATAAGAGATTGATAAATTTCAGTACTAAACATAAAAAGACCTTTTTATATAAAACCAACATGATATCAACTGTCACTAATATTTATGAACAATCTCATATTCATGGAGAGAAAATTTCTGACTTTTAACGTACTGATTACAGAAAAGACACTGTTTGAAGAGGAGAAGATTTAATATAAGCATAAATGCATTTAACTAAAAATTATTATGTGACAGCCTGATCCTCGTCTAGTTTATTTGATGAATTATTGTTTCATTATGATTTCTATTATTTTGACTCTCATGCCTTAAAACAGCGTTTGGAGAAAGTTCATCTCAGAACTATACATCAAAGAGCAGATGAGTGAAATATGAATGTTGATTAAAAACAAATAGATTAAAGAATCATTGAAAATCAAATTGCCCTGAACTAGTCGGTTTAGTTGGAAGTACCAACCTGCATTCAATAAACCACTGACGTATTTGATCTTGCATCGCTTCACGCATATCTGGACCTTCGGTATCCCGAATTTTCTCTTTTACCTGAATCAATGCTTGTTGATATTCTTGTTCATAGATATTCTGTGTTACTCTACGCACTGCATCCACACGATTAGCCAATTTAACCACACTAGATTTTTGTACAATGTGATGTAAATTTGTTGGTACCTAAAAAAATGTAATCGAAATTATTGAGGATTTACTTAACTTTCATTAATAATATTAAAAAAATTACAATTCTGGATGAATCTGTAACAAAGATCAAGGAATTAATGTTCTGGGAAAATATTTCCCTATTTAATGACGTCATAATTGATCAACTATTCTGTTAACAAAAACTTTCTGATGCTTTCAATCGCTAATTAATATTGCATTCACATTCAAATCACGAATACATCCCGTAGGTTTTAATTAAGCTTACTTTTTACCCATCAATGCGTACTTCTGAAGACCATTAAACTAGAATGAACCAGATGTCTGATTGAACATTAGTTCTTTAGATGACAAAAGTTTGTGAAATTTATGTTAAAACTGAAATTGGTTTTGACAGTAGTATTAGCAAAGATCTTGGCTCATGATTTCAATTAGTTTAGACAAATTTGAATTTGAATAAAAGTGGAAACAGTATAAACTCTCATTTCAATAATCCATATCTGTACTAATGCAAGTTATCAATTAGATTATTCAAATATAATTCATGACACTGTTCCAAACAACTTTTTAGTAAACTATGTAAAATATTATCGTTACTTTTGCAAAAACCGAAAATTTAAACACTGTATAATTTAATATTTGACTAATGTATTACATTTTTAACTGAATACTTACCATACCAAGCCATATAAGTTCTTCTTTGCGCATTACCCCAACTTTCTTACGACATATAAAACCTCGCCATAACTACTTACAAACATTGAAAAAAACAAGATTGGTAGTAAAGTAATCTTATTAAATAATACAGTTATTTTCCATCTGGATGAGGACTTACGAGGCAGAAATCACCTACAGTTCATGAACAGCTACTCAATCACTGATAAGTAGTATATTATAGTGGTAAATAATCACGAAGTATAGTGTCTATATAACTGGTTGATTTCTCTTTCAAAAGAAACCAGAAGTTATTTTAATTAAAAGAGCTTACTCTATAGTACAACAGTTTGCTTAATTTCTACTTTAATTAGGCTTCATTTACCATAAGTAAAATCATTCCTCGTTATAAAAGGTATAAAATACGTAGCCATATTTTGTAACTTAATATCAATGTATTGATATTCTTATCTATTCTTTTTGTCTTCTTGAACTCTAACTAGCTTAAAGTAGGTAATACTTCCAATAATTTCAATACATTTTACCACTATCTGTTTTCTTTTAAAACCAAAATATTTCAAAAATTACTGGGAATAGCAAACTATTTCATCGTAATAAGTTATTCATTTTGGTGCACGTTTAATATCCCTGTTGTGATTAAATTCCATTAATTTTTTTAATACATACAAAATCAATTAGAGCTGAAGACACCATGAATCTTTATCATCTTTTGATGTTTTTATTCATTCATCTCAATAATATGTTTTAACACAATAATAGATCGTCCTATAAATCCACCAACTCTCCACTTGTTTTGATCAGTGACAACAAAAGTTCAGATACAATATAATGAGAAAACTGCGGTCAAGTGTACAAAGGTTTAGTTTTTAGATTAAATAAACAAATTAATGACAGTCTAAACTATTTTGAAACATATTCGTAGATTTCAATCCTATTTACAAGATTTTGATCAGATAAAGGAGTACGCTTGAGAAGAAAGAGAAAGTTGTTGAACATTTACACAAGGTTGCTCACACCAGTTGCTTGCTAACCCGACGTTCCTCATGCGGACTAGCATCACAAAAACATTAAAAGTGATCCGATTCGGTTCATACAACTCCAGGTTTCTTTGGTCATAGAATTGTTTTCTCTGCCCTATATCACTCATGAAAATACTCAGAGACAAGAATTTCCTAACTGTTTCTAATGTCCTATTATATAAGTACTCATAAGCTTCCTTCAATTTCTTGGAAGTACTTTGCGTTTAGATAACATGAAACCTAATTTTATCTCAGTGTAAGACAATATGGTGAGCGTATTTTTTCTACGCGTTTTCAACGACCTGTATTGTGTGATTATAGCCAACATTTAGCTCATAACGAGTGACAGATTTATACTCGAAATCTTGGTTCGTCTACTATGTGAGTCATTTTTAGAAATGGTTAAAGCACTGTTTTCATTTAATTGATTATTCCAATCAATTCTTTACCTCATTTTAAACAATGAATAAAATGTCTTCTGTATCCTTAAGCTAAAAGTGTATTAGGTTGCTTGAGAAGAGCGTCTTAAGGAGTTCAAGTACTCGAAATATTTTTAAACCTCTACTCTTAAACAGCTGTTTGCTGACAAGAACAGTGTTTTTCATCTGACTCTCGGTAACATTCCATGTATTTGATAGGACCATAGGCTGATAGATGTAGAGCTTGTGCTTCGGAGTTCAGTCAAGTGACATGAGTCGGCAAATGATTTTGTTTATATGCATCTGACAAGACCGTGCTACGCTGTATACTTACCGAAACACTGACCATCAAGAAATACTTAGGCTTTTATAGTAAAAATAGGTACATAGAGCACTAAAGTAGTGCAACAGTTGATACGACAATAAGCCATTTAGTCAATCGCTGTTGATCTAGAATGGGGGCACAGTAATGAAATCTGTGAGTTGGATTCTTAGAGTTTGCAAACTCAAATAGACATAACTGCGAATCATATGGATCAGTACATATCAACTCACCTGATATCTTAGATGAGTGCTTTATTTTAAGACGCTAGCTCTACAAGTCAACAAAAAATTTATCATTTGCAATATGAATGGTGAAATTCAGGCCATCAAATGGGGCATTTTTTATTCTCATGTTACCTTATCATAACGCTGAAAGTAGTTACTCTGGCGTAAAAACTCAGTTTATTAAAGCGCTCATTTGAATGATTTTAAGAAAGTTACTGGATACCTTTTGTTGTAATACAGTTATAACGTCATATAAACTAATAGCCTTTCAATATGTATTCTGACCTATGAGGAATAATTTTCTGAAAATCTTTTGCAATCAACAAACTTGAAATTTTGTTAGACAATCAATGATTAAACTGTGTGGTAATTTGATCTTACTGCTCTGTGTAAAACGACTGGCTTTTTGCCAAATACCTTTTGTTTTTTTCGGTGTTTCCTCAAGCAACATTAATTTATGCAAAAACAAATCTTTTGTTTATTTTTATAGTTTAAAGAAGATAAAGACTAACAAAACCAAAATCAGATCACATAGTTTGCAGCAATACCATCAATCTGGTGCAAATAAATGATGATACCTTTTGAATAATAGTTGCAGCCTCATCACTTGTGTAAGATATTCTCTCTTTACCTCTACTTTTTTCTGATCCTTCCAGCCGACGAATTTCTTTCATAAATCTGGCTCTTATTCTGCCTTGACGTGCGCGTTCATGTCTTTGAATGAGGAGTACAGCTTGGTCAACTGACATCGAAATTCCCTCATCCTGAAATATAGAATAAACTTGATATTGATGTATCAGAAAACGTTCCTGTTTGGAATCAAATCATTTGATTTATTTGCGGTGGTTTGTATTTAACTGCTATTGATGGTAACTGAATCAATTTTGTGATGTTTCAGTCATCTACACAAGTACATCTGCACAAAGATCTTTTTAGTGGATTAAACAAGCTCGCATCTATACTAACTTGACAACTATGAACAAAGTATTTCTTAATAAGTCTGATTTAGCAAATAAATACAAGATTTATCAATTAGTTAATATAAATTATTCTACTTTTTTTGAGTTTGGTTTATTATGAGTGGCCAAATAAATACGGTGCATTAATCTAGTTATCAATCTAGTTATCTAAATATCAAACAAAATCTCCTAAAATGGATCATTCGGAGTTCCGAAATTCTCAGTGTTACAAAATCTCAGTCTTAAGCTGATTTTTCTTTTCCCTGGAAATATCAAGCTTATGTGCGTCGTTTATTCAGAAAATACAAGACACAAGTCGCAAATGTAAAGAAATTTAATAGGGGTTGTATTTATGTAACTATATAAAGTACTTTATAGTGATCCTGTAGTGCCGTGCTTCGATCATAGTTCGCTTCGATAACCGTTATTAATACCAATCTTAACGGTGTATAATATCAGAAGGCAAAGGGAAGCGGCAACTACATTTTTATTGATAATCGATGCAGGCCAGAAAGTTGTAAGCACATGAGCAACTGTAAGCAAGCGAAGCAAAGATGATGCGTATTGGAGATGGCTGGGAAGCCAACTCATTTTAAGCAAGCGTTAACTAACATTTATAGGCAGGCAAAAATGAGTGACAGACATATGATGAATAAGATACGAAGTGTACACATATGCGCTCATATAAAAAGTACTCAAGGTTAATAAGCAAATGATTAACAAGATCAAAAGATGACTCAATGTACAGGTGAATTGGCTTGGCCAGTAACTAGAATAAAGTATATGGGCCTAACATATGAACTGGTACTACAATCCGACCTTACAAATTATTGTGCTTAATTAAGGCAAGTTGCATAAAATACTTAATTTGTATCAAATTTACTATCCGTCAACAAAAGTTCTCATTACCCAGGGTCCAAATTTAAATCAAATACTCATTTACACGTCTTATAGACCACAAAGTAATAACACGAAAGAACTTCTAACTAGAAATTTACTTTAGAAAAGTGTGAATTCTAATTGCTAAGCTGCATTTTTATACATAGCCTAAATATAATTACAAAATATACATCAATTTCCTGGCATAATCAGATTGATACAACGTAAGAGACAACAGAAATAAAAGTGCGTTTTCTTTAAAAGATTCCTCAAAAATTACTCAGACCGAAAATTTGTCACAGAGATTTTGATAGTGTGGAGCACAAAATGGAAACAGAATTTATGATTAGAGGTGGGAATCCACCTTGTAATAGTTATTAACCTTGTGAATATGGAGTTATTTTTAATAGGTAGTGTATGAAAAAACATGACTACATTAAGAATAAGGCACAAATGCAATTTTTATAGTTACATGGAATGTCCGGACAATGTGGGAGACCGGAAGAGTCTTCCAAATTGCTGCAGAAATGAGAAAATACAACCTGGAGGTGCTTGGAATCAGTGAAACGCATTGGACGCAGGTTGGACAACAACGACTGTCTTCAGGAGAACTTCTGTTATACTCCGGTCATGAAGAAGAAAATGCCCCACATACACAAGGATGCTGTTCAGAAAAGCACAAAATGCACTTATAGGATGGGAATCTCATGGACCAAGGATCATCAAAGCCTCCTTCAAAACAAAGAGAGAGGGCATTACAATCAACGTCATCCAATGCTATGCGCCTACCAACGACTACGATGAAGACGCTAAAGACCAATTCTATGATAGGCTGCAGTCGATCTTCGAGAAGTGCCCAACCAAAGACCTGACCATTCTGATGGGAGATCTCAATGCCAAGGTTGGAAAGGACAACACTGGATACAAAGACTTCATGGGACAACATGGACTGGGAGAAAAGAACGAAAATGGTGAGAGATTTGCAAACCTATGTGCCTTCAATAAACTGGTCATAGGTGGCACCATATTTCTACACAAAAACATACACAAAGCCACTTGGATTTAACCGGATCACACTACACAGAATCAAATCGACCATATCTGCATCAACATAAAGTTCAGGAGGACGATGGAGGATGTGAGAACCAGAAGAGGAGCTGATATAGCATCCGATCATCATTTGCTGGTCGCCAAGATGAAACTAAAACTCAAGAAGCAGTGGACAACGGTGCGGACAACATCACAAAAGTTTAATACGGCCTTTCTTCGAGATGCTGACAAACTCAACAAATTCAACATAGCCCTCAGCAACAGGTTCCAGGTCTTTTATGATCTACTCAATGGAGAGGGAACTACCATGGAGAGCAACTGGAAAAGTGTCAAGGAGGCAATCGTTTCAACATGTCAGGATGTTCTGGGCCAAAAGAAGCACCATCACAAGGAATGGATCACTGTTGGTACACTGGATAAAATTGAAGAAAGAAGAAACAAGAAGGTAGCAATCAATATCAGCCGAACAAGAGCAGAAAAAGCCAAGGCACAAGCCGAATACACAGAGGCAAACAAGCAAGTGAAGAGGAGCATCAGAACCGACAAACGTAAATATGTGGAAGATTTAGCGATGACAGCGGAAAAGGCTGCAAGAGAGGGAAACATGAGACAACTGTATGATACAACAAAGAAACTTGCTGGAAATTACCGTAAACCAGAAAGACCAGTGAAAAGCAAGGAAGGCAAAGTAATCACCGACACTGAAGAACAACGAAACAGGTGGGTAGAACAGTTCAAGGAACTCTTGAATCAACCAGCTCCACTGAGCCCACCCAACATCGAAGCAGCACCCACAGACCTCCCAATCGATATTGGCCCACCAACAATTGAAGAGATCAGCATGGCCATTAGATAAATCAAGAGCGGCAAAGCAGCGGGACCAGACAACATCCCGGCAGAGGCACTGAAAGCAAATGTAGCAGCAACTGCCAAGATACTCCACATCCTCTTCAGTAAGATTTGGGACGAAGAACAAGTACCAACAGACTGGAAAAAAGGACTTCTGATCAACATACCAAAGAAAGGCGATCTCAGCAAGTGCGACAACTACAGGGGCATCACTCACCTCTCAATACCAGGGAAAGTCTTCAACAGGGTATTGTTAAACAGGATGAAGGATTCCGTGGACGCCCAACTTCGAGATCAACAAGCTGGATTTCGTAAGGATAGATCGTGCACAGATCAAATCGCAACTCTACGTATCATTGTGGAACAGTCAACCGAATGGAATTCATCACTCTACATCAACTTCATCGACTACGAGAAGGCATTTGATAGCGTGGACAGGAAGACACTATGAAGACTTCTTCGACACTACGGCGTGCCTGAGAAGATAGTCAATATCATACGGAACTCCTATGATGGACTAAACTGCCAAATCGTCCACGGAGGACAACTCACCGACTCGTTTGAAGTAAAGACTGGTGTTAGGCAAGGTTGCTTACTCTCACCCTTTCTCTTTCTCCTGGTAATCGACTGGATTATGAAGTCGTCAACATCTGGAGGAATGCACGGGATACAGTGGACAGGCAGGATGCAGCTTGACGATTTAGACTTCGCGGATGATCTGGCTCTTCTATCACAAACGCAACAACAAATGCAGGAGAAAACGACCAGTGTAGCAGCAGCCTCAGCAGCAGTAGGTCTCAATATAAACAAAGGGAAAAGCAAGACTCTCCGATACAATACAATATGCACCAATCAAATTACACTTGACGGAGAAGCTTTGGAGGATGTGGAAACCTTTACATATCTGGGCAGCATCATTGATGAACACGGTGGATCAGATGCAGATGTGAGGGCGAGGATCGGCAAAGCAAGAGCAGCATAATCACGACTGAAAAACATCTGGAGCTCAAAACAATTGTCAACCAACACCAAGGTTAGAATTTTCAATACAAATGTGAAGACAGTTCTACTGTATGGGGCGGAGACGTGGAGAACTACGAAAGCCATTATCCAGAAGATACAAGTGTTTATCAACAGTTGTCTACGCAAGATACTTCGGATCCGATGGCCAGACACTATCAGCAACAAGTTACTGTGGGAGACAACAAATCAGATTCCAGCGGAGGAAGAACTCAGGAGGAAGCGCTGGAAGTGGATAGGACGCACTTTGAAGAAACCACCCAATTGTGTCACAAGACAAGCCCTCGCATGGAATCCTGGAGGTCAAAGGAGAAGAGGAAGACCAAAGAACACATTACGCCGAGAAATAGAGACAGACATGAGAAGAATGAACAAGAACTGGATAGAACTAGAAAAGAAGGCCCAGGACAGAGTAGGTTGGAGAATGCTGGTCGGCGGCCTATGCTCCATTGGGAGTAACAGGCGAAAGTAAAGTAAGTAGGTAACAAATGCAATGTATTAATCATTGATCTAGGTGATGTGGCCGAAAGGAGACTACTGTATTGTATCAAGATGCGCAAATGATTTCTCTAATATTGTTAGTCGTATAACTGGGTGCTTAGAGATATTCGCTCGATGAGCAGACTAAGACTTTAGCTGCGCAGAGAGAAATAAATAATTTAGTGGAAGGTTATTTCAGTTCACTCACAGGGTTAGTAGGTTCAAATGGGTATTCAGTATTTAACAAGTTACTGTGAAATTAGATTTGCGAAACTATCGATTTGTAATAATAGATAAACCGACAGACTACGTAATAACATGCAATCAGATCATTTGTAGGTAGCAGTCTACTCTATATCTATATAAATTGTCAAAACAGAAGAGTGACAATAAAAACCTACTTCATGAGTAGAACAACACTTATTCCTGAATAAGGGAGCAGATATTTTAGTAAATAAGTTAAAACAAACAGATTTCTCCTGAGTCACATTGGTTTTTCAGTATTCGTTTTGGTCATTAACTTAATAACCCAATCAATCAAATAAAATACAATATGAATAACAATAAATAATGAGCGTTTTTAAAAGCTTTCAATCATCATTCACGGGTACAAGTGATGTCTTTTCCTAAAATTTGCTAATTGGTAACATGGTAATTTTACTGTAATGATCAACCGATATCCAAAAAAGGTGAATATCCCCTTGAAATCACTCTATCAGATGTCATAGATAGTATGTAATATTAAATTATCAAATGTCAAGATTATGGTTATACATACTATATAGGTCTCGAATTTTAGATTGTTGTGCTTCAGTTTTCATAAAACATTACGTCATAAAAGTTATGAAACCATATTTCCAGTAAAGAAATTATTCAAATTTCATACAGATTTTCTTATCAATTCAGGTGTTTGTGCAAAACACTGGTAGTGTTTGTAAATGCAGCCACCATTAAACAATTAAAGGACATATAAAACGGTGAGTGGTGGAACAAGTGATGAACTCATAAGCAATCGCTAGAATGATTAAAAAGGTGCTCTTAAAATAAGTGTCCTCACTCACGCGAAAATGCCAAACAGTAACCTTAGGCCAGATATAACCTGCATATGGCGGGTTTAAATACCCAGTTATAATGAAGTCCACTTACTTGGTGTTTCAAATCAAAGAGATTTGTTGTATCATAATGTAACTTCTATCAGGTTTTCCTCATATAAAATTTCCGACATCATTAAACACCACAAAAACCTTTTATGTTGGTCAGCAGAACAGTCAGAAGGATGGGATAATTAAGAAATTTTCTCTTCGTATTCTATGCCTTACATAGCCTAAGTAACTTAGCAAACATTAGTAAATGTGTAGTATACTCTATTTATTAAACATATAGTTAGGTATCTTTGTACCTTTGTTTCATCCGTTTTCGTGCTTGATAGTAGATGATCCAAGAACTGCTCTCTATCCCTTAGCGCTCTAAAATTTTCATTGACAAAGTACTTTGGTATTGGTATTTCAACGTCATTTGGTGTAAGTTTTAAATCTATTAGTATATCATCAAAATAATGATATTCAGAAAGTTCCAGTTTCACCATTTCTTTTTTTATCTCCAGAAACCTCCCAATTATTGAATCTAGGAGGGTTCTAAGAAGACGCCTTTTTTGTGGGTGGACGATCTGATCATAACACCGTTCCAGATTTCGAAAGATTTGTATGTACTTGATATAAAATGTGGCTAGTGATTGAAAAGCTATGGTACGATCCTGAAAATCGGTTAGTATGTTTGAGTACTGATACACAAACCTTTTCAGGCTTTTGAGTTTCTGGATTGGGTTCACGAGCTAAAATATCCGATAGTTTTTCTTGAGCGTCTCGCCATATATTATTGTACAAACTGAATATTAAAAAGTTTATTTGCTTACGAGTTTGACATATTTATGCAAAGCACAGTTGCCAAAAGACGCGTTAAACCAAGATGTTAGTTGTTTTCTCGAAAATGAAAATAGATCGATAGTTTCAGATAGCTAAATGCGAGAACATTGAGGGCAAACGCATGCTCATTTCCTAAGCACGTATGACGCACATTGTACAATGGATGTGTTAAAAATACCTTTGGTGGTCAGTTTTTAGTTGGAAACGATAACCAGACCAAGAATGATCATTCAAAATATAAATCTTTGAATGTGTGGAATGTAAATAAGTTTGAAAATTCACGGTAACGTAACCATAACAACGTTAGTGAATGCTATTGCGACAACTTTAAGACCAAATGACGATAATGTAAAAGCTGATCATATATTGCGTTCTTTAGTTTTGTCAATTTCGATTCTTTGGTTTATATTGCAGAAGATGAATTACAAGTACATCAGACAAAGTCTTGCGAGAAAATGTTTTGGAACAACTTCCTTTAAGGTAGCTTTCTGTTATTCTGAGGAATTTCAGAGAAAATCATCAAAACACTATATTTTCGTCAGATACTGTACATAAACTATCCTTTACGCTAGTCATGATGCTGTCTAGCATCGCTAATCCACAATTGTCTATAAATATATGAGTAAAGATAAATTTCTCCAGAAAGCACAATGTTTTCAATTATCACATGTCGATGGAATAAACGCCGTTTCTGAATGTCTTATATACTTGTAATTTCATGAAACGAGACTAATTCTAGTTCTCTCAACCACATGTGTGAAACTCCTGTAGTGGTAAATAAATCACCAAAATAAATAGCCCTGTAAGTCTTCAATATTTGATGCTGAATACATTAGTTTTAATGGACTCACCTAGCTAAAGGCGCTCACTCACGCATCCCACCAGATCGCGAGTGAGTACACCGTGTTTCACATCCACGGCCGCTAGCCATTTTAGATTGATCACCTCGGTTAATCGATAGCCTATCGAATATATCTTCGAACTTCCTCGCTTCTGACTTTTGATTTGCCTGGGTTGGCACATTTCGATCATAAGAAGTGTTACTGGTTAAGGCGTGTTCAGACTTAAAATGCTTGTAACATCTTTATGTCCCTTTCACTCATTTTGAATCCAGACAATTTACTTCTAGAGACCCAACTAGATTCGCTCTATTTTTTTGATGTTACTTTCCGTCTGGACACAAGTCTTTTGAATTCCTTTGAAAAGCTCGTTAATAGCATCATTTTGTTTTGACTCCACAATTTCATCATAACCTTCCTAATCCAGTTTCATAAGCGATTCCAAGACCAAGGTTTTGAATATTTGTATTCTGTCTACGAAACAGAAGGGCCAGGTCATCTCTGAAGTCCAAATCATCTAATTGATTCTGAGACGTCCATTGTATTCCATGCTTCCCCTCACATGTCGGAGTCATCATAATCCAGTCAATCACCGGAAGAAAAAGGATGGGGGAGAGTAGACAGCCTTGTCTGACTCTGGTCTTTACTGGAAATGCATCTGTCAGCTGTCCACCAAGCACCACTTTGTACTGTAGTCCGTCGTATGAGTTCCGGATTATGTTGACCGTCTTCTGAGGAACTCCATAATGTTGAAGAAGTTTCCATAATGTTCTCCGGTCCACACTGTCAAACTCCATCTCATAAACAATGAAATTGATGTATAGTGACGAATTCCACTCAACTGATTGTTCAACGATGATCAGTATTGTAGCAGTACGGTCTGTGCACTATCGATCCTTGCGAAATCCAGGCTGTTGATCTCGAAGTCGAGCGTCTACTGCGTCTTCCATCCGGTTCAGCAGCACTCTGTTGAAAACTTTTCCTGGTACTGACAGCAAACTGATGCTTCTGTAATTCTCACATTTATGATGCTGATGAGGTGTCCTTCTTTCCAGTCCGTTGGCATCTGTTCCTCCTCCCAAATCTTCTCGAATAGAAAGTGAAGCATGTTTGCAGTTACTTCAATGTCTGACTTCAGTGCTTCAGCTGGTATATTGTCAGGTCCTTCTGCCTTCCGTTTTTGATGTCTGATGGTCATCTTGATTTCTTCGATCGTTGGTAGAGTGACATCTATAGGAAGGTTTATTTGTGCTGCTTAGATGTCCGGTGGATTCAGTGGGACTATTCAACAGTTTCTCGAATTATTCTGCCCATCTTTTCCTCTGTTCTTGAATCTCCGTGATTGTCTTTTCTTCCCTGTCTTTGACTGGTCTCTCTCGCTTACTATATTTCTCCGCTAGTTACTTAGTTGTATCATTCAGTTGCTTCATATATGTTTTTCTTGCAGCTTCTTCTACTGTCATTGCTAAGTCTTCTCTAGTGCACTTCTTTACTTCCTTGTTTTCACTAGTGTAATTAGCCTGTACCATGACTTCTGTTCTTATTAGTCTGTTGTTAATTGCTATCTTCATGTTGATGATGCAACGGATATTCTAGTTTTACAACTAGATACCAGTAGCACCTTCTAAATTCGATCGTTCCCAGTCAGATAGAAATCAGAAGTCGGACGAGAATAGGCTGGAAAGATATATTTGATTCGTTACCAATATATCGAGGACCTTTTCTATGAGCTGGCTAATGAAACGTAGGAGCTGTGTCCCACGCAGTATTGAAACGTGATCTGGTGCGGATGCATGACCGAAAGCCTTCAGCTAAACAAGTCCACTTAAACAACGTGGTCAGCATCCAATGTCGAACACTTAATGAGCTATTGATTTTGGGGAATTATTTACAGCTACAGATCACTCCCCCCCTAGTGAGGTAGTGATGCCCCTAAGACGTGACCAGCCAGAAGTTTAAACCCAACGAATTTGTCGTTGGTAAACACTCTTCTGATAGCTTGCTTCGTTTAGCAGCGTCTGGTCGTCTTTCCTTAAACTATGGGACCAAAATGTACAACGTAGCAAATAAAGAAATATAGTACAATGAAAATTTCTGTTCCTTGCGAAACTTCGTCGTTCTTTTCCAGCCGTCCTGGAAAAGAGGAAAAATAAAACGTGTGAGTGCATGTCAAAAATACACTCGTACTTGCGTAAGGACACAAGATGAGCGGAAAAAAAATAAACTGATACACTTACAAACAGCGTAAAAGCGATCGGAAAAAAGGTTTTCTTTTGTTTTTTTTTTAATATAAAAATATATATATATATATACGTTCAAAAAAAATGTTTTTTTTGTTTCTTTTTTTACAGAAATAAAAAAGGAGCATATTAAAAAAAATTTATAATAAACTTTGAAAGGGTAATTCCAGATAAAGCTTATGTCCTACGTGCAATATTCGTTAAGATGTTCTGGAAATCTTACTCGTCTTCCAGAACGCGTTGTTTTAGGTTTTTCTATCGACGTTGACGAAGTATCAAGTTGTGTGTCGGTTGTCGTGTAGGGTACTACGAGTGTAGTAGCTGTGTCGTTTGCTTGTACCGAAGGAAAATCGACGTAGCTAGGGTTTCCTTCTAAGTACGCTGCTTTGAGTCGATCGATACTGATGCTATCTTTCGTACCGTTCTTATCAACTACATAGTACTTAGGTTCGCGTTGAAGAACTTTGAAGGGTCCTTCGTATGCTGATTCGAGGGGTCGTCGATGTGAGTCTCGACGAACGAAGACGTGTGTACTATGTCGTAATTCGGGTTGAACGAAAACATCAGTTGATTGAGGTCGAGTGTGAGCAGGTTTAACTGAACGCATAGCGTTTGTAAGCCTACTCATGTAAGAGTTTAGATCCATGTTCAATGAAGAAGCTGAAGGATCCACGAATTCTCCTGGGAGTCGGAGTGTCGTTCCGTAAACGAGTTGAGATGCCGTGTATCCAATGTCAGCTTTCACTGCATTGCGGATACCTAGCAAGACGAGTGGAAGAGCGTCTGTCCACTGTGAAACGTTTGAAGCTGATAATGAAGCTTTTAATTGTCGATAAAAACGTTCTACCAACCCGTTTGCTTGTGGGTGGTAGGCGGTCGTTCGGAAGCGCGTGATTCCTAAAAGTGTGGTCAGACAACGGAAAAGTCCAGATTCGAACTGGCGTCCGCGGTCTGTAGTGATGGTTGAAGGGCAGCCGAAATTTGCTACCCATCGTTCGACGAAAGTGCGAGCCACTGTTTCAGCAGTAATGTCCTTAATCGGTACTGCTTCTGGCCATCGAGTAAAACGGTCTACGCATGTTAGGAGATATGAGTATCCGTTCGAGTCGGGTAAGGGTCCTACCAAATCTAGATGGACGTGGTCGAAACGAGCGTCAGGGGTTTTGAAAGAGCCTAAGGGACATTTGTTGTGTCTGATTACCTTAGATTTCTGACAGCTTACACAGGAGCGTGACCACTCCCTCACGTCTTTATTCATGCCAGGCCAACAAAAGCGTTCGGCTATAAGTTCGATTGTTGCACGAGCACCTGGATGAGAAAGATTGTGCAACGTATTGAAGACGTTGCGGCGATAGTGTTTTGGTACAATTGGACGATCCCTACCTGTAGATGTGTCACAGAGTAAGGTTTCCTTACCTGTTCCCATCTGCCTAATACTTAGTTTAATAGTTGTCGAGGATAACTCATGCTGAAGATCAATGTCTTCTTTTTGAAGCTGAGCGAGTTTAAGAAGGTCGATTCCTTGGAAACTGTTCAAGGAGCGTCTGCGACTACATTGTTTGCTCCAGAAATATGTTGTATGTCTGAAGTAAACTGCGAAATGTAGTCGAGTTGTCGAGACTCTCTTGGTGAGTACTTGTCTGAAGATGAACTTAAAGAGAAGGTAAGAGGTTTGTGATCGGTAAAGAGCGTGAATTCTCTTCCTTCGATGGAATGTTGAAAATGCCGTACAGCACAATACATAGCTAGGAGTTCCCTACCGAACGTGCTGTACCTAGATTCCGCGTCTAGCAACCGTCTCGAGAAAAATCCTAAAGGTTGCCATGAGTTGTTAACCCATTGTTGTAAGACTGCTCCGATTGCTGAGTCGGATGCGTCTACGGCGATACTAATGGGCGCTTGACTGTCCTGATGAGCAAGCAAGGTTGCTTTAGCGATGTGTTCCTTAACTGTGGAAAATGCTTTACGGGCTATGTCGTCTAAACTAATTGATTTCGCATTTCCACGAAGCTGATCGGTTAACGGTTTCATTAGGGATGCGCATTTAGGTATGAACCGTCTATAGAAACTTACGAATCCGTTGAAAGTTCGTAACTGCTTGATCGTGGTCGGTTCTGGGTAATCCAGAATGGCCGCCACTTTGCTCCTAAGGGGTCGGATGCCTTGGGCATCAATGGTGTGTCCTAAGAAGTCTAAGCAGTTAGTTCCGATTTGGCATTTCTGAATGTTGACAGTAATGCCATGCCTTTGAAGTCGATCGAAAACAATGTCCAGATGCTTGAGATGCGATTCTTTGTCCGGACTTGCTATTAGACAGTCATCAACATACGCATGCACGAAGTTGAGACCTCGGAAGACGTCGTCTATAAACCTTTGGAAGGTTTGAGCCGCGTTTCTTAAACCAAAGGGCATTCGTAGAAATTCGTAAAGACCGAAGGGAGTGATGATGGCGGTTTTAGGAATGTCGTCAGGTGCCATCGGGATTTGGTTATAAGCTTTAACCAAGTCGATTTTCGAAAAGACAGTTGTACCTTTCAAGGTAGCTGTCAAATCGTGAATATGAGGCAGCGGGTAACGATCGGGAATGGTTTTAGCATTCAGACGCCGATAATCACCAGTTGGCCGCCAATCATTGCTGTCCTTTTTAGGGACCATGTGCAATGGGGATGCCCATGGACTATTCGATGGTCGAATTATTCCTAGGTCCATCATGTGGTTGAATTCGTTTTTAGCTAACCTAAGTTTTTCGGGAGCGAGTCTTCGGGCTTTCGAAAATACAGGTGGTCCTGTAGTCGAGATGTGATGTGTAACATTGCTGGTTACACAAGGTAATTTCGATTGCGATTGGTATATCCCGGGGTATTTGTCGAGTACTGCTTGGTACAAGGGGTCTATGGCGTGCTTAATCGTGACTGGGGATAACCTGCAACCAGAACAAGGAGTTACGCAAACGGACAACTTAGTGTTTCCGTCTATTAACCTTCGTGCGCGTGTGTCGATGAGTAGATTGTGGTGTTGTAACAGGTCAATACCAATGATTGGCATAGAGACATCTGCAACCACGAAAATCCAGTGTATGGGTTTACGTAAACCCACGTTAAGGTAGACGTACCTTTTACCGTAAGTAGCGATCGGCTTTCCGTTTGCCGACTGTAAACTTAAAACAGACTCGCGAAGTCTGTCGTCGAGATTTGCTGGAAGAACGCTAACTTCTGCGCCAGTGTCGACGAGGTAGCGAACTTTCGTAGTCACATCCGTGACATATAAGAGGCGGCTGTGTTCGCCGGCTACGGTTGCCGTTAACGCGTGCCGGCTGGGAAGTTTCCCGAACTGTTTTTCGTGTCACTCGATTTTGGGGTCGGATAATTACAAGGTTTCCTGCAGTTTCTGGAAAACTTACCGTACTGGTTATGATACCAGCACCAGTCGGGATTGTCTGTCTCTCGTGGTCGAGAGCCAGATCGCTTACGTGAGGCACTTCTACGCGGGGTTTTTGACCGACTACGGTCATTGCGAACTCTAAGATATCGTGTAAGCGTGTGACATAGTTCGGCCATGTCAGTCGAGGTCGATTGGGGTTTTTCTTTGACGGAAAAAACCTCGGCCTTAGAAGATCTAGTGATTTCCAAGATTCGATCGGCAGATGCAGCTAGTTCATCTATGGCATTGTTTTGAAATGAAACAAGCACTGCCTGCACCTGTTGAGGGAGTTTAGACAAGAAAAGTTGTCTAAATAGGCCATCATCGAAAGTTCGTTGGCCGATGACTTCTCTCATTCTAAGCAACATGTCCGTCGCAGAACCATGTTGCAAGTCGATATTGTTAAGGAGTTGGTCTAACCGTTGTCGATCAGTTAGGTCTCCTCGTTTTAAAATCGATAGCTTAAGCGATTCGTAAGGTTCGGAAACATCACTAGTGAACATACTAGGTGTTACGTACCTGTTAAACTCGCGCGGTAACGCCTTAACTACCGCGAGGAAACGTGTGCGCGAGTCCGTGATTCCGTGCATGCAAAAATCGGCTTCTGCATAGCAGAACCAGGACTCGATATTGTCGGGCCAAAATGGCGTTAACTGAATCGAAATAGGGGGAATAGACTTTAACTTAAGAACCTTAGGAGAGTGTTCCGTCATAGTAATATAGATATCGAAAAATGTCTAAGTAAAATATATCCGAGAAAAAAAAGGTATATCACAATATATAAAATTCAAATAAAGAATAACAATAAATAATAATATTCCAAAATGGAACAGACTCACAGTATATTGACTTGGTGTACCAGATCACGTCGGGTTCACCAATGATGATGCAACGGATATTCTAGTTTTACAACTAGATACCAGTAGCACCTTCTAAATTCGATCGTTCCCAGTCAGATAGAAATCAGAAGTCGGACGAGAATAGGCTGGAAAGATATATTTGATTCGTTACCAATATATCGAGGACCTTTTCTATGAGCTGGCTAATGAAACGTAGGAGCTGTGTCCCACGCAGTATTGAAACGTGATCTGGTGCGGATGCATGACCGAAAGCCTTCAGCTAAACAAGTCCACTTAAACAACGTGGTCAGCATCCAATGTCGAACACTTAATGAGCTATTGATTTTGGGGAATTATTTACAGCTACAATGTTCTTCCTTTCTTTAACCTTGTCCAGGGTTCCCATAGAAATCCATTCCTTATGATGTTACTTCTTGCGACCCAGAACCTCCTGACACGTTGAAGTTAATCCTTGGAACTTGTTATTGAAAGTTATCTTGAATTCGTTAGGTTTGTCAAAATGTCAAAAGAAGGCGGCATTAATATTTTGTTTCTCCATTTGTTCAGTGTTTCTTTAACTCCAGTTTGATCAAGGCAACCACCAGCTGGTATCGAAGCTGTGCTTGCACCTCTCTTTGTTCTCCCGTCTTCCATTGACTTTCTGAATTCTTTATTGAAACAGATATGATAGATCTGGTTCTCTGTTGTACGATTCCATGAGACTCACTTAGGTTTGTGTATGCGTTTGAGTGGTACTATAGTGCCATCTATAACCATGATATTGGAGGAACATAAGTTTGCGAATCTCTCACCATTCTCGTTTCTTTCTTCCAGTTCATGTCGTCCCATGATATCTTCATACTCAGTGTTATCCATTCTGACTTTATTGAGCACTTCGTTATGATTGATTGCAGCCTCTCGTAAAACTGATTCTAAATGTCGTCATTGCTATCATTGGTGGGTGCTCAACATTGGATAACATTCATTGTGATCCCCTCCGTCTTCGTTTTGAATGATGCTTTGATGCTTCTGAATGTATGAGATTCCCATTGCACAAGTGCGTTTCGTGCTTCTCTGGACAGCACCAGAGCAACTCCTTGAGTGTGTGGAGCATTTTCGTCTTCGTGACCGGAGCACAGAAGCATCTCTCCAGAATCTAGCTTTTGCTGTCCAGCTTCGGTTCAATGGGTTTCAATGATTCCAAGAACCATCAGTTTGTATTCCCTCATTTGACTGGTTCTTCCAGTCTCCCATACTGCCCGGACTTTTCATGCCACGGCAGTAACCTAGAAAGCTGCAGGCGGAGTGCGGTTGTATACTAGGTCCACAAATCCCGAGATGACCCATAAGTAAAGTCTGGAACAGTTAAACTTAGTGATAAGGGTTCAAATACGACCAAGAGCAACGGGTAACTCAACACTACTGACACTGTTTACTGATGACTGCTAACCACTGCAAGGTGTAAGCTCAGAGATGTTTCCTACAGGTTTTCTCCAACCTATGGAGTGTGAACTGAGGCTCTTTAATTTGAATATCAAAACGCTCAAATAAAAATAAATCGTTAACCTCAACCTCCTACATGGTTAAATATGACGATGCGATCACGTAGACACGTTTAAATGAAAGTTATACACTCTACTATCTCCCCATCTCTAAACCTGAAATCCAAGCTTCCTTTCCTCTTTATTACAGTTTGATGAACAGAAAACGTACTATCTGCCTATGTGCGGTTAGGATTTACGGGAAAATGGTTCCCAGATCCTATTGGTTGATATTCCACTTTGATCACTTCTGATCTTGATGAGCTGATGTAATTGAGAAGACGTTAAATGATTACTCTACGACTTTCGGAAGATGTTCAAAGTGACCAAGATATCTGGCTTAATTTCACAACTATTTCACTGAGCCTATACGTTATTAATAGTATTATTATTACTAGTAATAACGTTTTCAGAACTCAACAGAGTTCCAGAAGCCAGGGTTCCACTGCTAGATGTTATACATTTTCGTGGCTCTTTGAAACTATCTGGGTATGGCACATTTGGTTACTGTGATTATTCTGGTCCTTTTTAACGGGCCGTTTCTATCTTTAATACGAATATACTTGCATCAGTTATGGAAACTGATTATTGGGAAGAAGCGTTACTAACTGAAGTGCACATGGTACATTACCATAAACAGACGACAACAATTCCACACCAACTGATTGGCAAATATCTCTTTCACCTTGATTAGAACGATATGTTACAGTCTATAGAATAGCGTGTGCTTATTTTAAGCCATGTCACTTACCCGGCTAGAAGAGACGATTCACCAGACTTATTCAACTAATGTATTCAGAAAATGTTGCATAAGAGCAACATTTACTAGACAAGAACAACAACATAGTTGGTGTTATCAGCAACGGCTTTGCTGGTTTTCAGACATCGACGGATTTTCTAAATATCTGAATACCCATGAACCACGCTAGAGTATACACATGCAGCCGACTACAAGGACTCCAAACATGGAATGCCTGATGTCATTTTGGCCGGTCAAATCTGTGGATAAGAAAACGCGGTCAGGTCTGGAAGTCGATTCTTCTATGGCCTGCTTCATGAGCATCATATCGCCTGCAATCAAACTACTACTAATTATTAGGTATCTAATATGAGTTTTTATGCATTTTTATAATAACTTTTGGTATTACTTGACGAAGCATACAGCACCACCTAAGGTTTTTTTATTATATAATGGAATTTCTCACTAATTCACATTATTGCGGACATTTTTGAAAAAATCACTGGTCAACCAACCACCAATAACTTGCGATCAGCCCCAATATAACTTCTTTGTGTTAATTACATTCTTTGCTAACTCGTCTTATACGCTCAGTTTTGAATAACGTCTCAGTGACACCAGCATTTATGGACAAGGTGTGGGCGATGTTAAAATAACCTTTCGGAGGTTAACTAACTTACTGGGGTCAAAAGAGGGTTATTAATTAGCATCAGGAGCTTCGATCTGGATTTATAGTCAGAAGATAGGTTATTTTCCTTCGCACACTGGCATCGACTGTAATCCGAAAGTTCTGTACATCGATAAGAACGAACGCCTTTTGAGCGTGAATAATGACTTGAACACTCACATCTCACTGTTTCGTCAAAAAGTTATAGTCTTACCAAAATTTCAAAATGTAACGCAAGCTATCTAAAAAGCTTAAAGGCTCCGCAAGCATTTTAAGTCTGAATACGCCTTAACCAGTAACACTTCTTATGATCGAAATATGCCAACCCAGGCAAATCAAAAGTCAGAAGCGAGGAAGTTCGAAGATATATTCGATAGGCTATCGATTAACCGAGGTGATCAATCTTAAATGGCTAGCGGCCGTGGATGTGAAACACGGTGTACTCACTCGCGATCTGGTGGGATGCGTGAGTGAGCGCCTTCAGCTAGGTGAGTCCATTAAAACTAATGTATTCAGCATCAAATATTGAAGACTTACAGGGCTATTTATTTTGGTGAATTATTTACCGCCACAGGCAAGTGGTATTTTTCTGGATGAGGGTACACTTCCGCGTTGACTAGTCATTCGAGTGTATCATAGCAACTACAGTTACATTTCCGTATATTTACTAACTCATTTGTAGATATTTTATAATAAATTCTACTATATTATTGATTAGAGATATGACTTCCGTTATGTTGCAATTCATTTCTTACAACTTCGTAGCATAACGAAGTGAGATTCTCTTGTAAACAAGCAAAAACGATTGAACAAAACAATCCCTTCACCTTTCGCCAGGTACATGTCCTGGCAAAAGCTTTATCAGCTGATCCTATTTACTCTCGGAAGTGTCGACAGGTGGAACTTTGTTCGCATTTTGAGGTAACGAGTTCTATTCGTTGACGAGTCTGTTGTCAATTGACCTAGTTACAGTGTCCTCGTAAATTATCTGCTTTGGTGGACTAACCGCGGCGAGACTATAATTTATGGATCAACCAATCAGACTTAGGATAACAGGTTTCGGATTTTAGTGAGAAATCCATTCATCCATTTGACCAAATAGAGTTTTGGCACTATAGCTTACGCCAGTTAGTTATGAAAAGCGCAAACTTAATTTTTAACATTAACTATTATCTGTCAGTCACTATTCTGATTCCTCACACTGGTTTATAACCCTCATTTGATCCTAGTTATTAGGTGGACATCCTTAAGGTCACCCTATCTCCAATACGTAAGGCCGGTGAGACTAAGATTTGTGGGCGATCTTTGAGCGGCGCTGGACTCTGTCCGCTCTTACTTTGGTGAAACCTTCAAAATCAAGTCTCTTATTGTCTACAGACTGGGTCAGCTACATTTAAGTGACAGAAACTACATTTAGCTTGGAACAGTTTATCTGTACACTTAGCTTCGGGCATTTGTATAACAGGTCTGAAGATTATTTAAACAACTTCGTGTTACCTTCGATTTCGTAATGACCGTAGACGGTCACAAACCCCGCGAATGAGCGTTTCACGTAGGCGATCTGGCTCTCGACCACGAGGAATGGATAACTCCGACTGGTGCTGGTATCATAATCAGTATGGCAAGCCTTCTAGAAACTGCAGGAAGCTTTGACTTACCCGAACTCCAAGTCAACCGACACGGATAAAAAATCGGGAAACTTCCCAGTCGGCACGCGCTAACGGCAACCGTAGCCGGCAAACATAGCCACCTCTTATACGTCACGGATGTTACTACGAAAGTTCGCTACCTCGTCGACAACGGCGCAGAAGTTAGTGTTCTTCCCGCGAATTCTAACGACAGGCTATACGAGTCTGTTATAAGCTTATAGGCGGCAAACGGAAAACTGATCGCCACATATGGGGAAAGGTACGTTTACCTTAACGTGGGTTTACGCAAACCCATTCACTGGATATTTGCGGTCGCAGAAGTTTCTAACCAGTCATTGGTATAGACCTGTTACAATACCACAATCTACTCATTGACACACGCAAACGAAGGTTAATAGACGGAAACATTAAGTTATCTGTTTGCGTAACTCCTTTTTCTGGTTGCAGATAATCTCCAGTCACAATTAAGCACACCATAGACCCATTATATCAACCGTTACTGGATGGGTACTCAGGGATATATCAACCGCAACCGAAATTGCCGAGTGTAACCAGCGAAGTTACAAATCACATCTCGACTACAGGACCACCTGTATTTTCGAAAGCACGCCGAATGGCTCCCGAAAAGCTTAGGTTGGCTAAACACGAATTCGACCACATGTAAAAAGCGCGCCATTCGAACGGGAAGTTTAGTCCTAACGTGATTTACATTTCTCAAACTTTTGCAACAAAAGTACCATTTCCAATCTAAAGAATCTATTCTGAGCTATACGTTCGGTAGATTACTTCTTTTTTTTGTGTTTCACTCAAATTAATAGTTAACTGTGGTTTTGCCTCAGCTCACTATCAGTTTTTTTTATAGTTTTCACGTAAAGGCTAGCTTTAGCTTATCGTTAACTGGTTTTATACATTTTTGCCAGTTTTTGTTTACTGTGTGTTTTTTAACGGTCCTAAATTTACTGCTTGTATTTTCAAGACAGTCTAAATCATTAGCCATGAAAAATTCATGCAAGAGACCTGGTTGCCGTTTTGCCGTTACATCTGGCATGCAATGTGACAACTGTAAAGGTTGGCTCCATGAGGCATGTACAGATCTAACAGCAGCAGCCTATAGCAGACTCAGCAAGTCTGATCGTAGGTGGGTGTGTGTTGCTTGCAACACCGATACGGTAGGTATGTTGGGTACTATCATTACTTTACTGACAGGTCTGAGAGATAAGTTGTCTAAGAATTCGGTAAATGATAGCATCATGACGGGTAACAAAGCTGGAACGCATAGGGCAAATAAGAAAAAGGATACTGACAGGTCGGTTATCGACGGTGCTGTTAACAGCACGAGCGAAGATGTGCTGAAACTCAGCACCATCTTAACATCGACTGTCATCGACTCCCTCAGTAAACTTGGTTCCCTCAGGGAACAGTCCTTGAATGAGACAGTGGTTCCCAAAAATCCTGTAGGTGGATGGACTCACGTTAACAGGAGTAATAAAGCCCAAGCGTCCCCGCCGAAACTGAACGTCCCAAGTATCGTGCGGAAATCAATTGATGCTTTGGCCGCACAGTCTACACCCAAGACTGTCCCCCCTGTCATCACTGAGCCCAGGAATCGAAAACGCGCCTCGACATCCAAGCAACAAGATACCAAACCTAGACGCCCTGGAAAACCTGGGAAATCAATTGCGGTTCGTGACGACTCTGTCATAATCATGAACCTTATTGACAACCCCGACCTTCCTTTCAGTTTGCAGGACAAAAACGATAGGATGCTCTGGGGAGAATCAATCAAGAGGCTTGAACTCCCTAGAATAGAGCCTTCGACCGTCACACGGCTCACTCGGGGGAAGGACTCCAACCACCTAAACCACCCGAGGCTGCTTCGTGTTACACTTAAGAATGCCTCCGACGTAGAGGACGTCCTGCTAGCCAGTCACTTACTGAAGTCCGATAGGAACGTAAGAATACTGCCTGACACACCGTATTCTGAACGAAATCTCATCCGAAACATCCCTAAGGAATCTCGCGAGGCGTTTTTCCGTGGACGAAATATCATTGTGCAAGGTGTGCCGGAAAATATGGACCCAACTCAAGAAAACTCTGATATTCGGGATTGGAAATTCATCAAGCATTCCTTAAAACTCAAGAACATATTGACACAACAGGTAATGCGACTGGCCAAGAGAGACGGAGACTCTAGGCCCCGGCTGCTGAAGATAACCTTCCCCTCCTCTCACATGGCGGCTGCAACTCTGGAAGCATTTCGTGCCAATGGACGTCGGTTGCCAACTGGCATCCATATGTATCCGGACAGGCCCCACGACAGCAGGATCAAGCACAAACGAAAGCTGGAGCTGACAATTCCACTCGTGGACTGTCTTGATCATAAAAAAACGTGTAAAGGACAGGGACTACCAACTCGGTAAACATCGTATAGGTAGGCTACCTGTCCGCTCACACACGGCTCATATAGAAAAACAAGAAGAGGCTCACGCGTTCCAAATTGAAAGCATAAACTGCCTATACACGAACGCCGCGAGCTTGCCAAACAAAATGGATGAGCTACGTGAACTTAGCAACGCTAATGATGCCCATCTGATAGGAATATCCGAAACTTGGATAACGTCTCAGTTTAC